CAGGGCTCCTGAGGTCCAACTCTGCCTCCCTCAACTTTGCCACATGGGTCCCAAGCATGATGACCTACTTCCTGAACGCCGACCCCCAACGCACAGCTGGCTCCCTTCCCTACTTCACATACCTGCGCCCACATCCCCTCATCAGAGACGGTTCCCCAGAGGAGCCCACACACAGGGCATCTGACACTGTATGAACCCACCTGATTCTTTCTTTTCAGAGTACAAATTCCTCAAGGGTAAGTACTTGCTCTCTTGTTCTGTCACATATCCCAGTACCTGGAACAGTGGCAGGTGCAGAGTGGCCGCTAATAGACATGCTTAAATGAATTCGTTAATAGATAAGTTAGTACACACATACACATGTACACACATGCATGCACACATATGCAGGCATATACATACACACCCCAGCTGTGAAGAGCGTGCACCTCATGGTGCACACGTACAATATATGTACACACACGTGGATAAACATGCATGCTCACAAACACACATGTATATGTGCATATGCACATGCATACGCGTGCATGTACATACATATACTCGTACATATGCCTATGTGCCTGCATATGTACACATATATATAGATACACATACATGGATACACATACGTGTGTGTGCATATGTACACACACACACCAGCTTTAAGGTAGGAGAAGCTGAAATGAGCACTGACAAATTTAGTTATGTTGTTAAATTAGGAGCAGATATTGAATTAATGGCTCAGCCCCAGGGTGGTCTGCAACCACCTTACCACCTGGGGTTATTTTAATTGAATTCTTATAAAGATAAAAGAGAAGAACTTAGAAAACCGAATCTTGGAAAAACTTAATATCCTCAAAGTTTCAGGCAAAATCTGCTATTACTTATTTTTTTATCAGTGCTATAAAAACAGGAAGTGTTTAAAGGAAATAACTCTTTTTTATGGTGCGTTTTCTCAAAGGATCGCTGTGCGTTGTTCACGTCACGTAAGAAAGCGTGAGTCCAGTTAAACACAGACTTCGCTAATCTTCACAGGACAGAATAAAGGTTTCCATCCTCATTGCTCTCGTGGACTCTTTCATATCATTTCATGGTGCTTATAATAGCCAGCTTTGAATAAAAGCCATCCACGTCCACATCTATAACCTTCTATGTTGCGATTTCTTTGAAAGTAGAAGTCATATCTAATTCATCTGATTTTCCACTGCAGGTAGCAAATTCCTGTACATTTATCCTTAACACTCATGGCTACAAAGGAATTGTGTGAAATTAGGTGCATTTGAATGGTAAGAGTTTTCTAAGGAGTGCCCATTTAGCCTTTATAAATTTATATTTAAAAAATAAGAATAATAGTTTGCATTTAATGAACTTAGCATGTGCTAAGACAGTTATGTACATTATTGTATTTATTCCTTATAACAGAGAAAAGTATTGAGTGCAAAAGGTTAAAAAATCTTCTATTATGAAATGGGAACAGAGAGGAAGGGAAACAAGATCTTTTCAAGATAGCAGACAAAATGGCATCACGTTATTTTTCAAAATAAAATAGCTTCTCTTGAAAACAGGAGAAAAACTGATAAGTTTAAAAGAATTGTCTTTACCACTATTTTGAAGCTAGGGCTTTGTTTCCTATATTATAAGTAAAAAAGCATTTAAAACTCCAAAGTTATATTTTGCATTTGAAACTTAAACAGCTGAAATAATTTAAAACAAGTTTTGGGACCAAATTGCAAAAAAGATCTCAGAATGAGCTCAAAGATGCTAATTTTCATTCTAGACCAAGTTTTTATGACTCTGTGATAAACCCTCAAAAAATAAAGGATAGAACAACTAACAGAAAAAGAAAATAGGGATTTATAATGGAGATGCTTCCAGAGAATTTTCTACACTCAAAAAACGGTGATGAGGGGCTGGCCCCTTGGCCGAGTGGTTAAGTTCACGCACTCCGCTGCATGCGGCCCAGTGTTTCATTGGTTCGAATCCTGGGCGTGGACATGGCACTGCTCATCAGGCCACGCTGAGGCAGCGTCCCACATGCCACAACTAGAAGGACCCACAACGAAGAATATACAACTATGTACTGGGGGGCTTCGGGGAGAAAAAGGAAAAAAATAAAATCTTAAAAAAAAAAAAAAAAAAAACGGTGATGAGGGGGCCAATGCGGTGGCATAGAAGGTAAGTTCGCATGTTCCGCTTCAGAGGCCCGGGGTTCACCCATTTGGATCCCGGGCACAGACCTACACACCACCTATCAAGCCATGCTGTGGCAGCATCCCACATATAAAGCAGAGGAAGATGGGCACAGATGTTAGCTCAGGGCTTATCTTCCTCCAGCAAAAAATAAAATTTTTACATCAATAAAAGTGAAATTTAAAAAAAAAATGATGATCATGATGATGATAATCAGCTTTGAAATGATTGCCTTTAGTAAAAGTCATGTACAATAAATTCAAAAATTAAATGAACAAAGAACTCTTTTTCTAATAATTCATAAAACTTTAGAGGTAAGAACTAGCATGTGTCAGAAAGCCTGGTAATAAATATGTTTCAAATGTAACATTTACGACATTAAAGGAACATCACACGAGAGATTTATATTTATCTTCATGACAAACATTTTAACTCAAGAACGGCAACATTTGGTAAGTTAAGTCAATTCTCACTGAATTTATTAACTAAAGACTCAGAAATTCTAGGAAAACTCACCAAACATACAACTTCATCACACGTCAAGAGACACTTGAATGTTAGAAATCTTTATCTTCAGATGAATTTTACATATTGCATTTTGAGGATAATACATTAAACATTTTTTTATTAAGTGCATTAAACATTTTTAAATGCTATTCATCAAAATTTCATCCCTAAAATCTATATGCTGACAAGTCTTTTCAAGAAACCCACTGTGCTTGCGTTTGCATCTCATCTGCTGCATAAAGCATTGTATTCTTTTCTTCTGTGGGTGAGTTAGCTGTGATCCCATCAGCAAATACTGAGAGAGCAGATTCTAGGTATAGACGATCGATCGATTGTTCCAGGTGCCACAAAGGCCACTGAAACACCAGCCTGCACTGAAGTGTCTGAAGTCGAACACCTTCACCTCAAAGCTTCACTAAACAAATTTAGCAATTCAGATGGATCCTTTCAGATTCTACGTCAAAATATTGCCTAGTAACTCATTGAGTTGCACTTGAATTTAAAAGAAATCATAATACCTAAAAAACAGGATGGGTACTAGGGTAATAATCATTTTAAATATATGACTCAATTATCAAACTCACTTAAAAACCCAGAAATACATAAAGTCTAATAATCAATCTTAAACCCAATCTTGACAGATCGTACTGTGAAATTAGCCGCATAAGATCACGGCTCTCGAATACAGAACAGCCGGCCTATTCCTGCTTCCAACTACCAAGCCGGCGCCATCTCGTCACAGTCCCCAGAAGACGTGACATGGAAGCACGGGGTCTGCCCACACACACACACAACTTGTGCAACGAGCACGCTCGCCATCTCGAAGCTTGCTGTTTTAGCGGCTTCCTCACAAAGAAGTTACAAAATCCTTCTAAGAGATCCCTTCATTTATCTGGGGGACCTACTTACTGCATGGTGTTTAAAATATTTTTGTTCTGTTTTTATGCACTAATATTCTGTACAAATAAAAGAAAATGCAGAAAAATAATCTTTTCTTCAACAACTCTCTCCAAGCTGATATTTTCCATAGCGTTATAAAAACCAGAAAATTCTTCCCCTATCATAATTTGAAGTGTCCTAATTAACGAACCTCGGAGGGTGTAATGTTGGACAAAAGGTCCAGATGAGATGCCTGTCTGAGCCTTGGAAGGCCTCCCATCCAAGACGAAGGATGAGCCGCAAAGAGATGAGTGCATGACCCTGCGCACTGCAGGCCTGCTCCTCAGCCCCAGGCAGCCCTCCCGGGTTTTCCCGGCCCTCCATCCCAAACCTCTGCCCCTGACTGGGCTGACTGCCCCCACCCCACGGCCACACAAGCCCGACAGCTCCCAGGCTCCTGGACACCCAGCCTCAGGCCTGCTCTGGCTCAGAACCCAGGGGCCTCCCCGACTGAACCCCTGAAAAGGTCTTGCTGTGGCTCCAGCATTTCCAGTTCCCCCTTGTCCAGAAGGACCCTGGAACAACACCTGCCTCAACAGAATTCAACCGCTGGTCCAGAATTTGTGCTCTTTTCCATTCAAACTGGTTACAGAACTTCACAGATTACCAGACCAGAGCTGCCCTATTAAACAGAAATTTAAAGTAAGCCTGAAATAATGTATCAAAACTGTAGATAAGAGAGTCTTTTTAACCAATACAATAAACTCCATTTTAAAAATATGATACCCCTGAATCATAATGCAGATTTCAGACGGCATTGCAAAATAAACCCTGAATTTGGAAAGCCATCCCGAATATATCAAAAATAAAAACTGCAGTTGTAGTCCTGAAAACAAAAGTTTTGTTCACAAATCTCGTAGATGCTCTTTTGGGTGACAAAGTGTCTTTTGAACTAAACTGTGAAACAATGAATTCATCAAAATGGCTACCTCCTCTAGTCCCAAATCTTTAACCCTCAGCTGTGGGTATTTTTAAACTATTTCTCTGTCAAAATGGACTAGCAGAAAAGAGAAGGTATTGACCTGCAAAGGCTGCTTCTTGTTCCTGCAGAACCTACATGACTGTCATTCCATCCAATTACTGTTTGAAACACCCAAACCCTCTGTCAAGGTTCAAGTGAGAAGATATTATTAGTAAAGTCAAAAATGGGCCATAAAACAACCAAAGACAAAAGTACAAAAATTAACATTCGACACGGTATTAAAATATCTTCTAAGGTCAAACATCAAGACTTAGAATAATTTAATGATCAATAAACACTGACATTGAAGTCGGCAGCAAACTGTTATAAAATTGCACCAGACACTTGTATCTGATACCTGTACGTAAACACTTTCAACACAACATTTTACAGCAATGTGCCCTGTCAAAGCCTCACTCACTTTATTTTGACAGATCTGGTGGACAGGCCGCGAATGGGCTCCTGCTATCAGGGCGGCACTGCGGCCCACGTTGAGGTCGAAAACTTCCAACGTCCTGTTCCGGCCAGCGGTCAGCACGATGTCTGAGGGTTCAGTTAGGGAACTCCCCTCAACGGTCCACCCATGGGCATGAGCAGTCCCACTTATGCTATTAATAAATCTTGGAACACTGGAGGACACACAAATGGATGATTAGTTACGACTTTCTGAAGCCCCTCTGGAGAAGCCCCAATCATGGTCCCCGCCCCCATCTGGTCCCGGGCAGCTGGCAGGAGCTGGTGGGCAGTGGAGGGGCTGGTGAGGATGATGGGGAGACCCTGGGTGGTGAGATTTTGAGGGGAGACCAAGAGTCCTACTTGTAGATACATGAGCTTTGAGACGTCCAGGAAATACCCAAACCAAGAGGTGGAATAGCAGCCAAATATGCAGGTGTCGGGCTCAGAAGACAGGTCTGAGCTGAAGAGTAGACAATAAACCCTAAAAGTAGATGGTCTCCCCTGAACAGGCTGCCTGAGTGAGAGGACAAGACTCACAGTGAGGTGTATTATTAGGTAGCGGTGACAAACTTTATAAATTTGACACACGGGGGACAATTGATGAATGTAGGGGTCCTGTGACCACCAGAACCACCTCACCTTCCATGTTTAGCCCAGAACAGAGTCACAAAAAGCCGACATGGTAGGAAGAGGACTAGATCCAACAGTAAACCCAGTGCTGACGGCAACATAGGAGAGACCATCACATACGGCTGCAGTCATCAGAACCACATGCTTCTGCCAGGAGGTGTTTTGGGTTTGTTTTTTTTTTTCAGCAAAATATTCTAGCATAAACATATCACCCTTCCAACTAAAATACACTATATCAGTCCTTCCGAAACTTCAACTATAAAACTCTTCAGAAGAATTCGACTTAGACCTTTGGATAAATTAAAATTTTAGAAAATGAATTCCCGAGGATCAGAGCTTTGCTTCTAAATAAATTAAAATCAATGCTTTTTAATCAAAAGGGATCGCATAAGCCATAAACTCAAAAATTCAAGTTTGGGGCTCCATTTCATATTCGACAGCAACTGCTAGGATGCCTGTCGTTATGTGCAGCAGTTTATTTTAAAATGTACTAAGTTACAATCTATTATTCGATAAGCGACAGACCAGATGCCTCAGCGCAATCAGATGAACTCACTACATGCTGCATTACTTAACCAGGAAGACAGTGAGCTCTCTCAGTGCCTGGGGCTCAGACGCTCACGGTCGCTTTGCTGGAAGGACGACGCTCAGGACGAGGGGACACGGGAGGACGCAGAGAAAGGATACAGGAGTAGAAGTCATTTACTGCCGAGAAGCTGGTCATCTCCACGGCATCCGTCATGCGGAGGCTGAACACGGCTTTGCACCTGCTCTTCTGTTTATATCTGGAGGAAAAACAAAGATGATCCATCTTTTTGTCTCCTTTCCACCATAACTAAGCATTCTACCTTTAAAAAAATAGAAGATGAAAAAAACGTTTTCCTATCACCCAATGATCATATTTTATAACACTCACTGAGGGAGGGAGGGAGGGGGTCGGTTACCTTAACTGTCCTTTGGAAAACCTCATGAAAAAGTACCATTATACATAGCCAGAAATAACTCACTCTGTCTATGGGAAGGTGGGTTTTTCTCCTAATTCTAAAATAATTATGTATACTTAAGGAGAAACCCAACTGGTTATAAATGATCTGTATTTCCACTTAAACATAAGTTCTTTATTTTCTAAAGGATAATATATGCAGTTAGTATTCATTTAATAAATGTGTGATCTTAACAACCTCTAACAATAATTTCATAAAGGAAAGGAATCTGCTAGCAATTCCAGGACATGATCTTGACCCAGGGAGATGCCCGGGGCTGGTCCAGGACGTCTAGGACTGGGGCACATGCAGGTACAGCTGGTGATGGCGCAAAGGCGTCGGGGGCTCAGTGTTGAACCTCTGGGAAGGTCGAGGGTGAGGATGCAGCAGACCATCAGTCCAAACCTTGCACAGGTAGGTGAAGGCTGGGCACGGGACTGGGGCCATGAGAGGCAGAGTCCTGCAGAGAGGTGATCTCCTGGAGGGTGACGGCAAGTGTAGGACAGGCCTGAGGGCCAGAGAAGCCCCAGGAAGGGCGACTCCAAGAGCCAGTCCTGGGAGAAACAGGAACTGGGGGTCGGCCACACACAGACTCAAGTGACAAAGGGGCTGAACCACAGGGGAGGTTTGGGAATGAAGCCCACTGGTAGCATGAAGATTCATAAATTCTGTGCATTTGAGCAGGAAAACTGCTCAGAATCCTACAGCAGGGTGGCTGATGAAGCCGGAAGCACAACCATAATCTGGAGCCTTGATGGTTTGACGAAGTTAATCACCACCTCCAGCTGAGGGCGGGAGAAGGGGGCCAGGTCAGCTGCCGCCCCAGCAGGAAACAAGCCTGAAGGTGGGCCCTTCTCAAGCATTTCCACGGGGAGCTGCCCAGGTGGGGATGGAGGAAAGGCTGCAGGCCATGCATGACCACCCTCCGTTCACCAAGTAAGCGGTGCAAGGCCAGGGTGGAAGGAGCCGGACGTGAAGGACTCCCGAGACCCAGCTTTGGCAGCAGCTACCCAAACACACCTTGACTAAAAGCAAATAGTCCAGAAGCACAGTAAGCTTTTTCCAGGGACTTGTATCATCAAAAAAGTGACATTGTAAACGCCTGGCCAGCAACAAGCGGTCGCAATTCAGTTCCTAAAACAACAGCTCACCCCGAACTCAGGCCAGTGGAAAGCAGGCCAGTGAGATGGGGCAGGAACATGATGCGGCATCTCAGCCCTGTGAACAGACTACGAGAGCCCACACAGACCCTAGGGTCAGGAGAAGGATGGATACAGACAAGGGACACCATCCCAGGGAGTAAGTCCAGGGAGGGGGCGGGAGTTCTGGTTAGTCCTAACCAGCTTGATCTGATAAGTGCTATGCATCAGTGACTCCTATTTCCCATTCTTCTACCCCTAAATGACACTGTACAAGGGGCAGATAGTTGAGGAAGGGGCCCATAGCAGGTCATTTAGTCAATCCATTGCCATCATCTCATGAGGGCAGGCCCCAGAGCCACGGGGCTGAGCATCTTCCTGGGCAGGGGCGGGTGCATTCTAGGCGAGTGCATGCAGGAAGAAGGCTGCGGGTGCACCACGGGAAGGCTTGCACCCTGCTGTTCACCCGCCATGGCACCAGGTTCTGCTCTGGACGGGCAGTGACCTCACGGATCAATCACGTCAGATCCAAATGGATCCTGGGGCCTCAGAACCTGGTCTTCCTGGCCACGCAGCTGACCCAAAGATGAGCCAGCTCCCTGGCCTAGACCTAGGGACAGCTGCGATGTGGGTTCCCACCTTCACGATGGAAATGCATAAAGTGACCCGAAAAGGTTACTAAAGTGACAACCTACCCATGGTCCCGAGACAGGGACAGGCGACTGGGATCCCACAACAGACCCTGAGCTCAGACTCCTGGAACATAAGCTCGTTCAAACCCATGTTCTCCAAAATAAGAGCAGAAACTGACATACAGGTTACTCCCCACAGTCTGACATCTAAAGACAAGACTTGCAGTGATTTGCCCAGTTTATAAACTCTGACAGTTCTGCCCAGACACTCCTCAGACCAGTCCCAACCCCAAAGGCCAGGTATGCTCTTGGGGGATGTGGCCTGCAGGTTTTAAGAAGATCTCCCCCTTCCACTTGATGTGAGAAATATGGTCATGATGCCTGGAGCTACAGCAGCCACTTTGAAATCATAAAGTGAAAAACAGCAGGATAGAATCATGGGCACTGAGGGTAAAGGGCAGTTCCCAGTGGAATCATTAAGCCTCTGAACCTCCTCCCCTCAGACGGCTCATGGGTGGGGGGAAATCCCACTGGTGTGAACCACTGTTAGTGGGGGTTCAGTTACAGAAGGGAAGACGGCCAGCGGAACCCGATCCTGTGGGAAGTAGGGCAGCAGGGACCTGGGCACAGCCTTCCAGCAAAGGACGAACCTTCACTCTCATCAGTGTGCACTGAACACTCCTGGCTGCCGGGACGACCAGAGAAGGTGAGTCTGAAAACTCCCCACCACTTCCCTTTCCAGATGTGCACCGGGAAATCCAGCAGCACTGCCGGAACAAGGAGCAGTCGGGAACAACCCAGGTGTCCATCCACGAGGGATGGGCCAAGAGGCTGTGGCGAGTTCTACCATACAAATCTCATAACGGTTACAATGAACAAACTGAGGTCACTTTCATGAGCATGGGTAACCTCAGAAACATAACTCTGATGATTAAGAAGGGAGTGTTACATTTAAACACTCAACAAAAATTACATGACACCTGGAGATACAGCAAATATAAAACCGAGGACAGGAAGCTAACACGCCAATCTCAAGGAGAGGACCGGGGGACAGGACGGGGTGGGGGGGTCACTAATTCTCTCTGTGATGATTATTTCTTTAAAATGATTTAGAAACAAAGAAAGCAAAATGTTATTATTTTCCAAAGCTCGGTGTAGCTAAGTAGGCATTTAGTATTACATATATTTGAAACGTTTCATAATCTTAACTCTACTGTAGCACTAATTGTCCCACATAACATGAGCTAAATGTGCTACAGCACTGAGGCCGGGGGCCAGTCTCCGGAGCCCCCGAGTTCTCTCCTGACACTACTGGCACCTCAGGGAGGGTGGCAGCTCAGGGCGGCCCTGAGTGAGGAGAAGCCGAGCCTTCGGCTCCCACCAGAACCTCGGGAGCACATGGTTCTGATGACGTGTGGACGACGTTTGTAAACGCAAACCCTTTCCTTACATACAACTCACTATGGAGAACGCAGCCTCCTCCGAGTGAAGACAGAAGGGACCCGGGAGGGAGGCCGCCCACCTTCTCAGGTCGTCGTTGCAGGTGTCCACGTGGTACTTGAGCAGCTGGAATTCAGGGCCGGACGACGACAATATGAAGGCGTCTATGTAGTAAAACTGTGCGGATTGTACGGGCCTAGGAAACATGCCTTCACCCTGTAACACAGATTGGTAATTATTACCAACAGAATCAACGTTAATAAAAAACACTTTTGCTCTGAATATGAAGTTCCTTCATCTTAACACCAAACATCTACTCATTCCAAATGTATAGACACACTTTGTCAGAACCAATTTACCACTTTCGTTTCTTCTTCCTAGTCTTAGGAGATGCTATATCATTAAAATTTTACCGTGATGAGTGTTTTAAATTCTGACCATTGAAAAACTTAAAAAAAAAAAGAAAGAAAATTGAAACTTGGCAGTCAACATGTTAAGTAGCAAAGATTTTCTTAAAGCCAAGATCCTAAACACGTTTCAAAATGCAGTTCTGAGGTGTCTGCTCTCACGTGACGCTTCACAACCCCCAACACTGTGGTGCAGGAAGAGTCACTGCATTAACAAGCCCAGAACACATTTCTCCTCCTCAACTGCGGCCACCAAATGCCTCCCCCCGCGCAGGCCGAGGTCTGACCACCTTCCCTCCCTGGTCAGCGTTCCTAGGACTCCATCTCCTTTTTACGGCAAGACTCAGAAAATAAAAGCTAACACCGTCTTTGAGAATCCACAATCCGCCAGCTCACAATCTGATTAATCGATTAATCGAGGCCGATTGCTGTTCTCACCTCTTCTCCCGCCTCAGCTGTAAGACGGCTGTCACCTTCCCATCTCTCCTTTCTCATCCTGTCTCCAAATGACCAACTCTACGTCCACCAGAACAAGTCGTTTTTCTCCCCAAAAGGTACTTCCTCCCGTAATATCCCCTTGGCCGTTATTATTACCTCTGCTATAAAATCACATTGAATTCATATTTTAAATTATTCCAGTACTTTAGTTTTAGTCCTTCTGTCATTTTTTGGCCACACAAATGGAGGAGATATTTAACATACATACGTGTCTGTGTGCTACACACGTGTGCACATTATGGATGTGCGTACACACACATACTCACATTTTAGACAATATCTCGCCGATCATTGTTCGTGCATTGAAGCAAACTCCTGTTTACCCCATTCCCTTGCCTCCCAGCAGGGTAAGAGACGGGACCCTGGAGGAAGTTCTGTTTGGGCAGCTGTGACTGTCCGACATCTCTAGGTCACAGGGCTGGTCATTTTGAGATCCCCGCCCGTGACCGACAGGAATCCCCCATTACCAGACACAAGGCGAGTTCCGTCCTGCGAGCCGACCACACCCTCAGCGTCCCGTCCTGGGACGTGGACAGCAGCCACCTGCCGTCGTGGCTCCAGCACACGGTGCTCACTGCCCCGTCATGACCTGCGGGAGACAGAAGCAGGCAGGAAGGGGCCAGCACTGCACCCAGCACCAGAACTGCAATTCTCCCAGGAATAAACTGCCCAGCCGGAGGCCTGTCCGAGGTACAGCGACGCCGGCGGCAGCAAAGCCCGAGGGTGGGAACGGTGCTTCATTTAAAGGCTTCATGTGGTCTCTGAAGGAGGTGTTTCAAAAATTCACATCTTTTAAAATATGAAGTTCATGACAAAAGTATGTTTTAAAAGAAGGAACTTATAAAATGTAGAAACATAAAATGTATAGAAATCTGTGGGCTTCACGAGATTGCATTTTAAAGAACTGTTATTCTGTTAACATTGAAGGAAAAAGTCAGGAGGGCTTACTGAACACAGTCACATGTAATCTGATTACTTGTTGTGACAGATTTGAAAGCCTTTTTCTACCATGAAAGCGGCCGTGTGGACGGTGACTTCTGAGGGTGCAACAGTGCGGCTCTGCAGGCGTCCGAATGTGTCGCGGAGCCCGGCCCTCCAACGTTAAACTACAGATCGGCTGTCACATGGACAGCCAGAGTCTATTTAATGTGCCCCATGAAAGCTTCTGAAACATAATCAGTCAAGAGAGGAAGAAAAGGAGGGTCATCCTGAATCCCGGGGTCAAGGAGATCATCACTCGCTTCTCGCTTCTTATCCAAATGCCGGGAAAGAGGGTCTCAGCTGACAACCACAGTCTGTTCTCTGGGCCACTATGACCCTCTCAACGTCTTCTGTCACCGCCACCCTCGGCCCTGATTCAGCAGACACCCTAAACACGTCTTAGGACGCGGCCCCATCTTCATGTTAGGCGATTAGAACGTCAGATTAACTTTACAGATAACGGACCTGGGTACCAGTGGCTGCACCCCCTCCTTCTGGAGAAGGATGAATCGATGCTCAGGACGGGAAGGAAAGATAATTCACAGCAACACTGGTGTTTGCTGGGAGCTGGGCTGAATCACCCCAAACACACATCTGGTCAACACTCTCGCACACCCATGCCAGGGGCTCCCTGTCCCTCATCTGCCTCAGCTCTGAGCCATCCAGATGGTCAGCTGGGTCCTGAGGAAGTGGCAGGAGCACTGTGACCGGGGCCTGGGAGCGCTCTGCCGCCCTCCTCACTCCCACACCTGCCCTGACCCGCCCGGCTCTGCTCTTTCTGGTTGGGTATCTGCATCTCTCTGGCTCCTCAGCCTGCACACACTTATTTCTGAACCTTCCTTGCCCTGGTAACCACCTGACCGGCCATCACTCCAGGGGAGGCCGTCCTAACGTCATTCCCTAACAACACCATGGCCCGCTGCTCTGAGAAGTGGACGAGCCGGAGGAGACACAGGGCAAGCCAGCCACAGATGCCTTCTCCGAGTTTGGGAAATGAAAGCCGTAGGCCTCTGGAGGTGGTAAGAGATGGCGAGAGGGTGGGGTTGGGTGCTGGTGTGACGGGGCCCCCGGCAGAGTGAGCTGGGCTGTCAGGGGACACACGTGAAGAGAAACCTCTGGGCTGTGACAAAGCAGCATTTCCCCGAGGTCCCCGAGATGTGCTGGGAAGGGCGGAGGGAACTCGGTCTGCAGCTCCACGCACCAGGTCCTGGACCGCAGTGCCCGGCAGCTCAAGGATGACCACACTCTACCTCCCGGGCCCAGGCGGTTTGTGGCTGAAATCGTAGAGGGTGAGTAACCACAACGAGGAGCACGTTCTCGCCACGGCGAGATCTCATCGCCCCAAGATTGTCCTCCACGCTGGCCTCAGCATGTGAGTCACACACAGCAATTTAAAGATTAGACCAGAAACGGCAATATCACCCTATCATACTTGTCAGAAAACTAACAAGGAAAAAGTGGACAAACCAGGAAAGATTTGTAAAGATTTATAAATAGTATATATCGCAGTTCTGTAACGTGACCCGAGGAAACTTAAAGCTCAAATTTCCTGAGCAGAAAGACATCTGACATGGCTTTGCTGCCCTCTGGTGTGAATTTCTGGGAGTTTTACCAAAAGCACCAGGACCGGTCAAGTCGGGCTGCAAACACCATCACAGCTACTCCACCAACAGACGTGGCTTCTGTCACCAGTCACGGCTCCTGCGATGTTTTCCTGCAGATTCGTGTGTCTGAGGCTACAACCCCTCGCCCAGTGTCCGGGGCTGTCGGCCGAGCCAGCTCCCAGGGAAGGGCGTGGGCGGGACTGCAGGAGCTCTGCCCACTTGGGCTATCGGCCCTTTGGAAGTGGCCGTGTTACCAGCTGAGCGGGTCACCCTTTCCTTGAACATCAAATGACGAAACTCAGTCCTCCACCACCTAACCCAGATGCAAAGGGGCTGACGAGGCCACCTGCCAGGGGGACACGCACGGTGAAGCCACCACCGTTCAACTAGGCTTAATTCTTCCCAGTTAAGCTGTAATCCCGGCACAGTGGGCATGCCCGCCTCTCGCCCTTGCGTCCCTGCCACTACTAACTAGTACTCCACGGTCACCGGGCACCAGACAAGGGCCCACTAAGTGACCAGAGGAGGCAGAAGCACTCACAGCACAGACACTATAAGGGATGCCCCTCTGCTGGTCCCATGCCTCACAGGCCAGTGAGCCTGCCCCGTGCACCAGCGCAGAGAGTCAGGGACAGGCCTCTCCGACTCCACACGAGACCCCGGGAACCCCACCTTCTCCTCCAGGCTCCAGTCTGACACACGAGGTGCCGCAACCTCGAGGCCTGTCGCAGACCCGGCTCTGTGGGGTGAGAGGGGGACCTGGGACCCCAGTTCCAGCTGATCAGCTCTCTCATCCTCCTCTTCTCTCAGTCTCACTGTCGCACACGTCTTCCTGCCAGAACCCCACAAAGGCGTCCCACCTGCTGACTGACGTCCCCGACGGGCGAGGAACTTGAGAAAGAGTGGACAGGACACAAAACGCTGACCTGGACCCCGAGCCCTCCCCAGGGCTAGCCTCCCGCTGGAGGGGAAGGACTGACAGCACATGGGACACAGACTGCCCCACGTGGAGAGGAAGCCGGGTGCCACGCCCACAAGACAGGGAGGTGACCTGGCAGAGACCAGACGGGCAAAGGGCTTCAGATCAGGAAGCAAGACGTTCTGAGCTTAACTGCATCTTTTTATAAAAATTAGTTTCTACACAATTCCGTAATCTTTAATGAAATCCTAACTAAATTTAATCTTCTGGAGTGACCGACCCCAGAACTGAGCTGTCACACCCGCGCCCTCAGGCACATCTCTCCCGTGTCCTTGAGCATCTGCTCTGTGCCAGGCACACACTAAGGGCAGGCACGGAACTGGGGTGCCCAGCAATCCTTGTACTGCACAACAACATTTGATGGAAAACGCTCCAAATTCTAAAGCGTAAATGTAAATGCCTTTTAGATTGAATACGACGGTGATCAGTGGTTTTCAGACCGCGACTCCCCACCTGGGTGTGCTCCAGTCCGAGTCCTCCAGGAAGGAATTCAATTCAGCCTCTAACTTTGACCACAATCAAAATATCCAGAATATACTTATTTGTCTTAGATGATGATCGGAATTAAAAACACTCATTTTTCTGCTTTCTGGAAAAGCGTTGAGAAACCAGTCTTCTTTTCAAAGTTGAATTGCCTGACTATGAACAACTCGCCACGTGGGGTGAAATGATGCGCTAGAACAGGGAAGGTGGGTAATCATCGCTCTCTCCCAAAGGGAAATAGGGTGTGCTTTTGTAAAGGGTGAGTTTAAACATCCACTGTGTTTTCTTAATTCAGCAGAGGCCCTTTTTCCAACAATAAAAGACAGAGAAATGCACGTAACCAACACAGTTACCATTTATACCAATTGTCAAGCACAGAAAGACACCCGTGCGCCACCCCCCTCGTATTCAACGTGCCTTAACAAGAGCACTCGAAGCCAAGGTTTTCAGCCTGGAGAGCCGCAGAATGTACTGGAATTACATGGGCCAGAGGCTGGTTAGGACGAGGAATAAAGATGCTGTGGAGACACCAGGTGAGAGGCGGCGACTTGGGCTCCCGTCAGAGGGTCTCCCTATTCCTCGCCAGGGAGCCCACCGCAGACCCTGGAGCCAGCCTGAGTCTGGGACCTGGACAAACATGGGGAGGACGCTCTTGTCCTTGGCTGGTGTGGCCTCCCCATCGACCACTCCTCATCTCTCCAGTTCACAAAAACATGTGGACTGGTGGAAGATTTTTCATTTTTTCTTGTGTTTTTGCTGTTGTTGTTAAAATATCTACCAAGTGTGAGTTTTGAACCAAGCAGTATCAGGAACTCGATGAAGAATGGGGGTTCCTCGAGGTTTCAGGACTGGGTGTCCGTACGTCAGAGTCGTGAAGCTAAAATGGTAAAACTTGTAACATGGCTGCCCCCATCTCAAATCTACCTGCTTAAAAGAATGCTTTGGGGGCTGTCCCCGTGGTCGAGTGGTTGGGTTTGCACGCTCCGCTGCAGGCGGCCCAGTGTTTCGTTGGTTCGAATCCTGGGCGCGGCCATGGCACTGCTCATCAAACCACGCTGGGGCAGCGTCCCCCATGCCACAGCTAGAAGGACCCACAATGAAGAATATACAACTACGTACCGGGGGACTTTGGGGAGAAAAAGGAAAAATAAAATCTTTAAAAAAAAAAAATGCTTTGACTTGTTACATTCCTGGAAACATCTCTATACAAACCCTACTAACTTCAAAACCTATCTCGACCTCACATCTAGGTAAGATTCGACCTCACGCTCCCCTAGAACTCTGCAAGCCTATGGCTGCTGACCGCAGGGCACCTGCCGTGAAAGGGCCTGCACTCTGGCCTCACTCTGTCTGGTGTAGCCGGGCTCAGTGGAGTCCAGTTTATTAAATCTCACCCTTTCATCCCCTCAATTCAAGCCTTGGTTCTATTCTGTTCTTGTCTAGAAGGAAAAACAACGTGGCACTTAGCAATTAATAACCAGGACCAAAACGAGACCCATCTGTAAGTTCATATTAACTAAAATTAGCACACATTTTACCTGAAAAAACAGCAGGTTTCCCGGAAAGATCGGCATCAAAGACCAGTGACAAGTGGTTGGCTAGGCCACAGGCCAGCCGCCGTCCATCATCTGCTTAAAACAAACGAGAGATTCCCCTTGTAGAATGAAAAGTCATCGGAGTGCCGCCTGCGCCAGGCACAGTGTAGAATCTTTAGTTAACTTGAGGTCCGTTTCCTTGGGCAGTGAGAAAACCTGACTCAAAGAGGAAACAGCATCTATTCAACCGCCAACCACTCTCACCGAGGGTCCACCAGGGGCCCCGCCCTGTGCCAGCCCTCATGTCACAGCCCGAGCCTCCGTTTACAGAAAGGGAGCCTGAGGATCGGGAGTGGGGGCGGTGAGCCCGGGGTCTAGGGGCTTGTCAACAGGCAGCGCAGGATCTGAACCCAAAGCACCCTAACCCGGGGTGCCCACCCTGAGGCCCGGGGCGTCCCGCCTCCCATCGGCCAATGTTTGAAGCGGCATATTCGACTGAGCAGTCCCACCTGGGCGTTTCTGTGACATATGGTAGAAACAAATTATAGACGTCCCCGATAATAATTATTCAAACCTGGGGATCCTACGTCTGTAATCTTATCTGTGTGATTCTCTATAAGCACATCTTAGTGAGCAAGCATATCAAACTTCACAAACACGTCTGCTGACCATGCTATGCATCTAAGCTCCCAAAATTATCCAAAAAATTATTTGGTTAGAATTATATGAAAAATAAGGGGAATTTAGCACAGTTGCAAGTAACTATAACCTTGGGGAGCCAACGTAAGACACTGGACCTACGGCGAGAGGAACACTCGTGGAGGTGGGGGTGGGGCGCAGGCTCGCAGGCAGAGGCCTTACATCCAGCCTGGACTGAGGGCCAGGAAAACCTGGGGGTCAGAAACAGCGTTCACTTCTGATGGAAGAGCTCAAACAGTGGAGCCACGTCAAGGAGGGCTGCCTCCCAACTTCTTCCAAACTATATTTAGAAAAAAGCTGATGTCCCAGAAGTGAAGTTTGGAAGAGGCGCTTCCAGGCACTTGAGAGCAGAGTGGCTCCAGGAGGTCAGTAAGAGCTCACCTGCGGGAAAGGCTCCATCTGCGGGGGCGGGGACGGTGCTGATATGAGACACGGGTGCACTTTCCTTCAACCCATCGACGAACCAGGCGACCAGACCCCAGGGGAAGTCGGTGACTATTTTGTAGCTTCTCTTTGCCTACAAATAACCCTCACGTGCAGCCTTCCTGCCAGACTCCCTTGAAAGCTTACTGGGGAGACGGTCTCACGCACGGAGCACAGACCTGGAGGAGGTTGCGATTCCAAATCTGGGGGCTCCTGTTCTGCAGGAGCCCCCAGTACAAATGTGAATCCTGTGCACTGATTCTGCTCTCCCCTTGACAGATAGGTGAGGTCTGATTCTGAGCCAGATTCCGACAATGCCACATAACTGCACGTAACCAAGATTTTAAAATCTGTTTACAATGGAACAGCAGGCAGAAGAAGGGACTCTTAGAAACGCCGCGAAGCAGACCTACCTGAAAACTGAAGGCAGCACACGGCTGTGGGGTCGCTGGCTACAGCGAGCTGCTTGCTGAGTCTGGTTGGCAGAGGGCTCTCTGAGGGGTACTCCTTACTGGAAGGAAGATCAGAGATGATAAAGATCAAGATACAGTTCGAAGGGAAAGGAAAAATGAAAAACAGACTGGAACTAAAGTGGGTTTTCACCTATTTGCACGCGTAATTTTATTCCATCAAACTTGAATATTTATATATAAACTCTTCCATTTCAAAACCACGAAATAACTCTTTAAAATAGACATTTTCCGTATTGCCAAGAAATGCATGTGTTCTGAGTATAAAATATCAAAGATTTATCAGATTTAATATAAATGGACACGAATACCGAGATGGTTCAGGGGGAGGGCTCTCGGGCAGAGAAAACACATTTTACTCCTCAGTTTCATACTCTTTGTGGGTGGCTGTCCTAACACTAATGACTCAAATAATCCACAAATGGCTTCTATTTACCATGAAAATGATCACATTCCCAGTTTCTAAAAGAAGCCAAAGAAGGCAGGGGATAAAAAAGGACTGATGCTCAAAATCCACAGCAGGGCAGGAGGGACCTGTGAGCAGGGCACACGGCCCATATGAAGGGCAGCCAGACCTTTAGTCAGAATCTCCCTGTTGGGGCCGGCCCGGTGGCCCAGTGGTTAAGTTCTCGGGCTCCGCTTCGGTGGCCGGGGTTTCCCCAGTTCGGATCCTGGGCGCAGACCTAGCACCACTCAACAGGCCATGCTGAGGCGGCGTCCCACATGGCACAACCAGAGGCACTCACAACTAGGATATACAACTATGTCCCGGGGGGCTTTGGGGAGAAAAAAAAAAGAAGATTGGCAACAGTTGTTAGCTCAGGTGCCAATCCTAAAAAAAAATAAAATCATTAAAAAAAAAATCGTTGTTAATTTCAGCAACTGGTTTTCAGCCTCCAGGTGGTGCAAGGCCATGGTAGGGGTGGGGACCAGCCTGTGAGGCCGGCTCCTCGCTGCACCCCTGTGGCCTCCTCAGTCCCAGGATCCACACTATAAATGAAACAGGAAGCCACCTGTCGCAGCCTAGTTACGGGTCAGAGAAACGCAGAAACGCACCAGGCGCCCAGCAGATGGCAGCAAAGGGAAGGTGGCTGCGATCTGAAAATGTGCTGTTCTAAAAACTGGAAGTTACTGAATGACGGATCGTATATATTTATTCCTACCACGTATACTCAGTAAAAGCTGGTAAGACTGGCCTTGCAAGACGCCTGTCAGTGAGACAACGCCACCCTCTCAAGTCAAATCTGGAAGGTGTTCAGACCGCCTTGCTGCAGGAAACACTGGCCTGTACCCAGGACATCGTGTTGGGGCCTCACCAGCTCGGCCACGTGCAGCCTCTCAGCAAAAGGCCTCCAAGGGCCAGAAACCTATCAGAGACTTGCTTGGTCGAGAGAGCCAGGCTCCTTGTAGAAAAACATCACCAAAAAAATCAGAGTTCAGCCTAACTCCAGGTGTTGCATTTCACTCTGGACCACAGTGGGTTCCACAGCGTTGGAAGGCATCTGCCACAGCCACATGCTTAATGTCAATGACCTGCTCAGATAGGGAGCAGCAGAGAGTGGCAGGAAGAGCCACAAGAAACATCACTGGGCCTAGCCCTGTGGCCAAGGTGTTAAGGTTCTGTGCACTCCGCTTAGGAGATGTGGGTTCACAGGTTCAGATCCCAGGCACAGACCTACTCCAATCACCAGCCATGCTGTGGCTGTGTCCCACATACAAAGTAGAGGAAGATTGGCACAGATGTTAGCTCAGAGCAAATCTTCCTCAGCAACAAAAAAAAAAGAAAGAAAGGGAAAGAAAAGAATATAAGAAAACATCACTAACTATGGGTAAAATCAGTGTGTGGTGCATGTTTCTGCAGACCTAATGACTGTTCAAGTGCAGGTGTGATTGCATTAAGTGAGGAACACTTTAAACGCTGTGGCCCGCATCTCTGTTTGGATGATGTAACCTTCAAGTGTGGAACTGGGAAGACCCTGGAGGCCCCCCAAATGCCTTCTTGTCTAGATAAATGGGTCCAGGGAATCCGCATGACTTGTCCACATCACACAAGGGCGTGGAGCCAGAGCCAGAAGGCCAGCCCTGGGGCCACGGGGATGCTGGATGAAAGGGAGCGCTTCCAAATTGACGACCATTCAAGGTTCACATTGAGCACTAGAACTGCTGAAATTTTCCATCCAATTATCACCTAAGAAGCTTATCAAGAATAATCATTAGCTATAACACTTTTTAAAACTAAATTTTAACAATTACACCAAAGTTGTTAAGGTGGTAAAAATAGCAACATGTCTGAAAAATGATTAACATGAAAGAATTAAATTTGACTAAAAGGACATTTATAGACTATATATGATTTGTGTCTATATGCACATATATACATATGTTTCTGTATACACAATTATAAGGTCTCATACCTGTTCGAAAAAAAATTCAATTAAATATTTGCAGGGCCTCTCCAAACTATTTCAAATTTACTCTGAATGCATAGACTAGTTACATACCATTTGTAATTGTTCTTGCATTTTGAAGATCTTTTACCATTATTCTTGATATTAGTCTTTGGTAAAAACATGGTTACACTGTGGAAAGAAAACTCTTATGTCATTCCCAGAGATTAAAAGTTCTAAGGTTCTAAGAGATGCATACTTTGTGGTGAAAAAATATATACAAATACATAAATGCTTTGTGTCCCGTTAATTATAACAGCTATTCTTCCAATTACATATCTACATTGGTGATTCACTGCTGGAAAATAAAATGTATTTTGGTATAAAAATTCTGGAGAACACTGTGCTATTTACTTACAAATTGTGGATTACTAGAAAAAAAGCTACAATTATTTTTGCAAAGATTACATTGTAAATTATTTATTGATCATATTCTGTGAGATTTGTGTGAAAGATTTCTAAATCAAAAAACTGCTCACAAAGGCAGACTGTCCCTTAATTTGAATATAAACTATGATTCTTATGAAGTTGTTTCATTTTTGGAGAATAAATTTATATAATCTCAATAGAAGTCAAATTCCATTGACTGACATTATTCCACAAGTCTACTCAGAAACAGAAGTGCAATGTACTGGGAAGTCACACTGAATTCTCCCTTTAATAGAATATGAACTTTAAATATTGACAGCAATTAAACAATCACTTCACACTGGCCCGTTTTTCAGATGCACAGAGCCCTGGAGAGATGCCCCCTGCCACAGTCGGGGCCCTTCTGACAACAATGGGAAGAGCCGGTGCTGTGTGCTCCCTGCACACGTGGTGCTGAGCTCCAGCAACAGACATGGGGACAGCCACGTCCCCGTCCTGCACCTGCATCCAGGCCAGGCAGAGTGAACACCACATTCAGCCCAGGGCTGTCGGGACAAGATGGGGCAGGAGGGGGCGACCCCCGGGGGCTCTGTGTTTGCTGCAGGATCCACAAGTGTCTCCAGGGTGCTCACACAGGCAGGGCCTGGGTGAGGCAAGGACAGGACAGGAGCCCCACGAGGACCAGAGGAAAGCGTCCCATACAGAGAACAAAGGGTGCAGGGCTGCTGAGCAGGGACCAGCTAGGAGCATCTGAGAAGGAGCAAGAGCCCCGCCCCGGAGCTGGAGCGCGGGAAGCACACCAAGAAGGAAGGTGGGCGCAGACAAGGCCAGCTTCACCTCCTTTTTATCCATCTCACACTGCCTCAGAGATGTGGCTGTGCTGCATGTCCTGACCAGGTGACCCCCTTAAAAACACTGTACCAGCACCCTGTACTTTTCCTGTAAAGTCAAATGCAGGGCTATCCATGGTCTGGCCCCCTCCTGCCCCTGGGCTCCCACACAGGGCCCCACACTCAACACACACCTTAATAAAGTGGACCCTAGCCGTCCACACTTAACATATAGGTGCCACTCCCACTAAGCTATCCCACAGGGTCAGGGCATGCACTGGTGTGCAATTTTGCCGGGACATGAATTCAGAATCCATCTATCCATCCATGCTTCCATCTATCCATCCTTCCTTCCATCCATCCATCCATCCCCCTACCCATGCACTCATCCATCCATCCATCCATCCGTCCACCCACCCAGAAGGGCTTTGTGAGAGGGTCCAAGGTGCTAGGCACTGTCCCAGGCTGAGGGGTTTATGGAACAGATAATAAATAAAACACACAGTCATGCCAGCCAGTGATCAGGCCGAAGAGAAGGAGTAAAGCAGGAATGGCCTGGGAGAGGTGGCCGGGGCTGTAACTTGATACAGAGCAGCCAGGACGGCGGCTTGCACATGGGGAGCAGAGACTGGCTGCTCTGCAAGACCACCCAGGTTAGCCCCAGGGAGCCACATGGGGAGGGAAGGGCCCATGCAGAGCCCTGAGACAGGAGGGACAGACGGACAGCATGGGACGGCGTGACCGGGTATGGCTACACGGGGTCCAAGCAGGGAGCATGGTAGAGGTGAGGCCAATGAGGAAGGGTGGGTGGATGCCACCCAGGGAGGACCCTGGAGAGCCCACCAAAGCCCCCACTTGTGCTCGGTGTAGGGGGCCCCACGGGGCTTCCAGGTAATGGGGCCATTTTGGCGGCTGTGTTGAGAACAGATAAAGGGTCAGGATTTGGGGCGGGAGGAGGGTGGCAACAGGTCTGCATTTTAGACAGAAAAGCCAAAGTTGCCTCAGAGACCTGGGACTCCTGAAGGACCAGGGGTTTCAAGACTCTGTTATACCTGAAACTCCTCAGATAGCAGGTTTTCATATTTCCTCGTCTTTGAAATTTCCCCCGACCCACCTCAGGGCTGCTGATGTGAGTTCTGAACACACTGGATTTAACGCCCCGACGTCAGAGTGAGGCCAGTGTAGACATGCCCCCATCGCTGCCTCCCTCTCTCTCGGCCCCCATTCACCCCGTCCCCTGCTCCCACTAGACGCTCACTCACTATCACCATTATTAGTCAAGGATAATCTGATCTGAGGGTGACAGGAGGCCCGGCACACAGTAAGCACTCAATAAATGCTTGCTGCTGCAGCTGCTGCCACTTGTGTGACTGACATTCTGAGGGCAGATGCTACACTTTAACTGCTGTTCGTGCTCTGTCTCCCGCCCGTGGGATGACCCTCCAGGACATAGTTACGCTTGTATTTGAACCCTGCCTCCTTGGCACGTCACACTGCTGTTCCTGTACTGGGGTGAGTGGCTTGCGAGCTGGTTTACTCACTGCGGGGCAGACGTGTACCCAGAGGACCTGACTCTGCTGTGGAAAACCAGGGGCTGGTCCTTTACGACACTCCGCACGGCTGTGTAAAAATGAGTTTAAAGGAGAAGCAAATATTGAACATTGTCATGTCATTCTGGACACAGTTCCTTAAAAACAGAAAAGTTCACACACATGGAATAAGTTTGTGACCTATACATTTAAGAAGTTTCATACCTGATGCCAAAGCAACCATTACCAGCAAAGAAGGTTAAACCAAGGCCATTAAAAGATAAGAAGACAACAAAAAACGTTTTTCTCATTCCTTAAGTAACACAGAATGCAATGTTTGACACTCTGTACTTCCGATCCTCAGGGACGAAAACGTCAGCGCTTCCCTGCAGTGTTGGCCGGGGTGTCACCCGCAGGACACTGCCCACGTCGTCATCAAACGGGCCGCACGCTAAACTCGGTCTATGTGACATTGTGTCCAGGGGACACTAAAGATTAAATATTTTTGAAATCCTATGAATTACCTCCACTTCAGGAAAAGAAACATCTAGCACGTAGCCTACCACAAATGGCATGCAGAAATAAGCAAGAGGCAGAGGAACGAAGACATAACGGAAGGAAGGAAGTCCTGAATCCTGTCTTTGACAAATTCACAAAGCAACAGAACGATGCTGATATCACGGTAACTAAAGGGAAGGAACACCTTTTGTATTTCTATATTCACAGAATGTTATACTGACCCGATTGTTTTTGACTAGCCGGCTTGGTACTTTTTTCCTCAACAAGAGCAAAGTAGAGTGGAGAGGTCGGTAAGACACCAGAGCTAAAATAAAAACACAAAATCATCCTATGAGAGCAAAATTCTACAGAGGAGTCTTTCAATGAAATGCACACTTTAGGACACTTCAATGATTAACTCAGGCGGATGTGGATGTGCAGTATTCAGAAGTGAGAACACTGTCAAGCTCATTCTTCCCAGAAATACATTAATACTTTTAATAAAAGTGCTGTTTTATAATCTACATTCTACTCTGAAATAAAATAGTGTTTCACATTAAAATAAATGACGAGCCATTTAGTTTTAAACAAGATGGAGGCATTGGCATGAGCAAGAATTTCTTTCAAACAGAGAGTTTTCTAAACTTTACTTTTATTTCTTAAGATAAAAGGGGTCTAAAGTCTGCCCACTGATAACCCGGCTCACGCATGTCCCGCTTGAAAGGACGGTACCGAGGCAGCACTGAGAGATCCTTCCCAACGTTGGGGCGCGGCAGAGACCTCACCAGACAGGCCAGGCGGATCTCCAACACGGCGACCTGACTTCCGAACAAGGACGTGAGCAAGCAGAAGGCCTGCACGGGACGGGGGGTGACAAATTAACTCCATCACTATGGTACACTCGTGACCATGCATCCACACTCGTCATCAACACGGCTCTTCAAAAATTGTCTGCCTCACTTGTAGTTACACTATTGTATAGTGCATATACAGGTAATATTATACAGTCTGGGTATAGACATAGTATTGATATAGTCCATGTATATAGCATGTGGACATATAACACTATTATATTGTGTGTGTATATAAAGAGTACTATTATATAGTGTGTACATATATGGTATATATAGTACTATTATAGAATGTGTGCGTATATATATAGTACTATTATATTGTGTGTGTATATATAGTACTATTATATACTGTATGCATACATATATAGCACTATTATATAGTGTGCATATATATAGTACTATTATATAAGTGTGTGTATATATAGTACTATTATATACTGTATGCATACATATATAGCACTATTACATAGTGTGTGTATATATATAGTACTATTATATACTGTGTGTATATATAGAGTACTATTATAGTGTGTGTATATATAGTACTATTATATACTGTATGCATATATAGCACTATTATATAGTGTGCATATATATGTAGTACCATTATATAGCGTATGTGTATATATATAGTACTATCATATAGTGTGTGTATATAGTACTATTATATAGTGCATATCTATATACAGTGCTATTATATAGTGTATATACATATAGCATACATTTATACTATTATATAGTTTGGTAATAGAAGTTGCACACTACTGCGTGAGTCATGAAAACTTCCACAGATGAAATCTCAGTTAGTGAGCCCGTCATGACAAAACAGGGAAGACACTAAGTTACATCGAAAGTTCGGACGGGCATGCTACAGAATCCAAGTGCAGTGAATGGGCATGACTCACCATGTGATTCCCGGTTTTGCCCATCACTGCACACGATCCAGCAACTTGAATGCTGAGGTTCCTAAAATCTTCATTTTCAGCAAAGAGAAATAAAGAAGCAACGTTTATGGGGTAGGTAAACAGAGCCAAATGTTCGTTGGCGCCCCTATCCACCGCATCCTGATTGTCTACTGCACGCAGGCTGCTGGGGGCTGGAATGTAACGAGAGCCAGTCAGCTCCTTCCACGGGTGCAGCAGACTCTCGTGGAGAAATGGACCGCAGGACAGCGTACAGACAACTCCCTCACACTGGTGAAAGTGCTGGGGAGGAAAGACGGAACTCCCACGAGAACACAGACCCGATCGGAGCACCATTTCAGGGGAGTCTCAAAGGACAGGAGGACTGGCCGGCTCAGGGAGGAGAGTGCTCAGGCGCTGAGGTTTCTAGGGTTCAAGCAAAGTCCCTTCACCAAGCGGAACATGATGAAAACGGAGGCGTGACCCCCCAGGGAGAGGGAAGGAGGTGTGCCCTGGGCCAAGCTGAGACCTGACTGCCAGGAGGGAGGAGGGAGGTGTTGGGAACCATCCCTACATTTTGGCCAGGAGCAACACCGTGGACAGAATCTGAGGACGGGAACCAGGCTGGAAAGGAGAGCACGTCTGCTCAATTTAGACAGGCTGAGTCTGACACACTGTGAGGTGGTCCAGGCCCGGGTGCCCCGTCTTCAGCGGGAAATACTGACAGGGCTGACTGAAGCGTCCTTGACACAGACTGGCACAGACCCCAGAGCAAGGAGGGGAAGGGCGTCCCATGGAGCCAGGTACGGGAGAGGACCAAAGACAGGAAATAGCTTCAGGGAGGCGCCACCAGAGGTCAGAGCAGAACCAGACACGTGTCGGTGGGATCCAGCAGCCCAGAGGTTACCACGACCCTGAGGAGGGCCGGCTATGGCCAGTGATTGACGTGTCTCGTCCTCGAATTCAGAGGACAGGCTGTCTACACAGAAACTGTGATTCCCCAAACATCAGACAAAGAAAATGTCAAAGTCACGTGAAATCTGTATCAAAGATTATTTGAATTCTCATCTTACCCTTGTAACGTAAAACTGCTTCCAGTTCAAAGTTTGCCAAGTTAAGTATGAACAAACCAGCTGAGCTTCCGATCCACAAGCAGCTGGCATTCTCAGAAGAAACACTAATTGAAAGAAAAAGAGAACAAATTGTAGTGATCTTCTTCCTTAAGCTTCAGTTCCAGAGCACGTCACTAACGTCACACCAATTCTCCAGTGAGGGGAGCAAAGCGATGATGCACGAGGTTTCCCACCGCGGCTGCAGGAGGCTGGTGCTAACCCCCTGTGATCCGTAATGGCAGTCGACCTGGCTGGTATTAAAACTGTTTGGGGTTTTCTCGGCGTCCACTGTCTAGTGAAGACAAGGAACACAAGTGGCCACAAACTGGGCCCAAATCGACTGTGATCTGCAAGGTTTTTATTTCTTCTGAGGTCACAAAAGAGGCTGGTGCCTGCGTCCTCCACAAGACAGCGCACAGATGGGGGCCCCTGCAAGTGGGGCGGGGGGGAGGGCTCGGTGCCCTGGACTGGAGCTAGAGGTCCTCCCAGGCAGCGTTAGTAAAGGAGGAAACAAGCCCAGGAGGAGACTACACCCAGAGCGGCAGAGTTCACAAGAAGGCAAACACAGCTCTGTTGTTGCTTCTTTTTTTTTCAGTTTACAAACTAGACAAAGGTTAATGAACTGACTAACAAGCCTCATTCTGGTTATGCCAGATGGACTCAGCACAGCTCTCCAGATCCACCTCTCTCCCACCGCCAGCTCCAGGACACCCACCCAAACACCAGCCCCGGTCACCTGGCTCCAACAGCCCCCAACACCCCCCGGCTCATGCTCCGTGTTGTCATCCTCCAACACCACTCCACAGGTTGACCAAACAGGTGGTTGGGAACAGAAACCAGATCCTGTGTGTGCTGCCACCGCTCTAAGAGGAGACGTTGGGGATCCATGACCTCAGATCCTCTAATCTGCTCAAGCACAGGCCAAGCGTCTGTTCCTGTCCCAGCCTCCGCCCACAGTGCAGACCAGACAGCGGCGGCCACAGCCGGGCCATCAAGGCAGGGCTGCAGCCGAGCCAGCAGGCTCCTCAAGTCTCCCTCTCCAACAACCACCGCTCGTCCATGAAGACCGGAGGCTGATCCTAGTCGTCTCTGGAGCTTTCCGTGCTCTGGGAGGGCCAGAGGTGAAGACAATCCTAATATATTCTTTCACTCACAGTTAAACAGTGGCTTCCTTACATTACCAAATATGCATATACTCCCATCAAACACAGAAATAAATAAAATTCACTTGGGGTCAATTTTAAATGTATGATATATGGCACAGATAGGGGAAAAGTTTAGAATGAGTGACAACTGTCTCCCCTTAACCCTCTTACAGAGTCAAGATCTACCTAGATCTTGGTGAGCAAAATTTAAAATAATTTCATTTCTCCTGAAAAATAGACTTTAAAGTAATTGACCAAGTTTACCAACTTTAAGACTTAAAATATGCAATCCTAAAAACACTTACAGTTATTATTACTCAAATGGATAAAAATAATTCAGTTTTATTTTACTTGTTCTTAAAAAATGATCCTAATTTAAGAGATTTTCCTCCACATGGCATTGGCCAAGTCCACTGTACTTACAACCCACGTTCAGAACTCGGGACAAGCGAGAGAGCACAGGGTGCCAGACTCAGGACAGGAAGTTCTACTTCAATCTCTCCTCCTCTCTCCAGTCCATCTGTAGAGGGAAGCTGACTCTCTTCTAGGAACAGAATTATTGATAATCTGAGAAGTGAAATTACAATGACCCATCAAGTTAAAGGCAAACAGTTGACAAGGCAGGGTATTGTGGGAAATATCTGCAGCTAGGATAACTCATGAATAAGAAAGACTCAGACACATGCATCGGAAAGAGCAACGTTAGGAATAACTAGACCCTCAGTCATGAGGCCTGGAGGGGCAAAAAGAGGGGGTTCAAGTGTAGAACCAGGAAAAGTAAGCAAGGAGATGGTCAACTCAGAGAGCAACTCTGCATTCCTGAAGTGGGTTAAGGTTGACTTTGCAATAAATGGGTATTTATACAAGAAATCATGAAAGCCAAGGTTTAAGGCATTAGGAAAAAATAGATATATTTCATAAAGGTAATTTCTGACCTACTTTGAAAAGGACAAACTAAAAGCTATCCTCACATACATACAAAAACCCCCACACAAACTAACTAAAAGAAAGAGTAAAAATGATGATAAACTTGAAACACAGCAGAGCAGGTACACTTGCTATAACATGAAAATTATCAGACTGCATACACCCATAAAAGAGAGTCGTCAGCTGGACTAAAATGTAAAATCAGCAGTGTTTCTAGAGGGTGCCGGCTCCTTCTGTGACCGAGGTGGAATCCATGACGTGCAGGGAAGACCGGGTGAGGACCCGGAGGAGGGTGGGCAGAGCCAGGCTGACCGAGGTGGAAGCTGTGATGTGCAGTGTACAGTCTGCTCAGGACAGAAAAGCCACGGGAGGTCTGTCCACTCTGGTCTCCTCACTCCATGACAGCCACCAGCAGAAGCTGCTACTCACCAGCTCCCGGTTCACCGAACTCCCCCCACGCACACAAGAGGAGCCTTCACCCACCCCCACCCCATCCTGCCTCACAAGACCTGCCCAGTGCCAGGTGGATGTCTAAGCTCACCACCCTGGGCTTCTCCTCACAAGAAACCATCTCGTCCCTACTCTCCCTTCACCACCCCTAACTAGGAGCCTGGAAGGCTGCTCAGGGAGTGCTGGGTGGAGCATGAGCCCCGGGAGAGCAGAGCAACATTACCTGGCAGGCTGCAGAGCTGGGACTCAACCCTCCTGGTGGAGAAACTCTCGGTCTTTTTCTTCAGGTCCACATGTGTCACACAACGATAATGATGACTTTCACCCAAACTGAAGATCCAAAGCTGGAGAAGCAAAACGTCTAGACAAGTAACTCATCAAATGCTACAGATGAAAACGCAGGAAAAGCCAGATGAGGGAAATGAGTTGGGAGCAGACAGGAGCAAGAGACAAGCACTACGTGGCTTCAGAGAGTCCCCTTGATCCTTCTTCTCTGGTCCTAAGGCCCATTCTTAGGGTCCTAAGATCTCCTCCTTCCCTAGACACCCGAAATCTCAGAGCCCTTCTCCGCATCACCATGTCGGTCGAGAGCAGTGACTTTAGGTGCAGACACACTTAGGGCTTACAGGTCTTCTCCAAACCACTCTGGCTAAGAGGAGACTATGCTCTGGTCTCCAGGGGCCCAGCCCATTCTCTCTAAACCCAACACTACGAATACACAGCCACAAACACATCTGACACGCCGCTAGGTGATAGCTGTCAACTTTGTCAAAAAGAAAAAGAATGATCTTCTTTTACAAAAATATATCCGTGATATTGCAATTTATAATAAGAAATATACATTTGGTCTAGGACCCTGTTCCTGGCACAGAGCTCCTAAAACCCTTGAACTTCCTAAGTGATGAGAGCAGCACAGGTGTCTTTTGTTATGTGAATGAGGGGCTTTGGGAAGCCCCCAGGTCAGCAAACGAGGGGGGCTGGTGGCCAGGGGAACCACCCAGTGAGTAGAGGTTGAACAGTCAGTCCCACCCTGACCTCTAGGGAGGGGAGAGGGCTGGAGATTGAGCTTGATCACCAATGCCCAATGAGTTAATCAATCACATCTATGTAACGGAGCCTCCATCAAAACCCAAAAGGACGGTATCAGAGAGCTCCCGGGTTGGTGAGAGCATCTGCACCAGGTGGGTGACGTCCCCCAACTTGGTAAGGACGAGGCTCCTGTGCTGGGGACCCTCCCAGACCTCGCCCCATGTACGTCTTCCTCCTGGGTGTTCGTCTGCATCCTTCATCGTGTCCTTTATTATGTAATAAACTGGTAAACACACGTGTTTCGCTGGGTTCTGTGAGCCACTCTAACAAACCTGAGGAGGGTCATGGGAACCTCCATTTGCAGCCAAGTCAAACAGAAATAGTGGTGACCTGGGGACCTACTGTTTGCGATTGGCCTCTGAAGAGGGGGCAGGGTCATGGGACTGAGCCCCTAACCTGTGGGGTCTGACACTCTCCCCAGGTAGACAGCGTCAGGATTGAGTTAGATTGTAGGACACCTGGCTGCTGTCCTGGAGAATTGCTTCCTGTGGGGGAAAACCCCACACCTTTGGTGACCAGAAGTGTCAGAAGTGACGGGTTCTGTGTGAGAGTAAAGGGGACTCGCAGGAGGGAAGACCTTTCCCAAATTATATCAAAAGCAACTTTTAAAAAAGAGAGCAGTATGTATACATTGTGGAGTAGACCTAAACTTCTCCCCTAAAAAACTCAGTTTTGAAAAAGATGATGGGGCTGACCCTGTGGCCGAGTGGTTAGGTTTTCGAGCTCTGCTTCGGCGGCCCAGGGTTTCGCCAGTTCGAATCCTGGGCGCGGACATGGCACCACTCATCAGGCCACGCTGAGGCGGCGTCCCACATGCCACAACTGGAAGGACCCACAACTAAAAATACACAACTACGGCCTGGGGGGCTTTGGGAGAAAAACAAAAAATAAAATATTAAAAAAAAAAGAAAGAAAGAAAGTAAAAGATCAAACATCTTCAAATTTTTCAAAATACATGAAGCCGACACTAACGGTTGTGTGAGGGGTTCTCATCTGGAGGCTTTAGGACATACAGATGCCCGGCTTCTCAGCAGGAAATACCCTGTGGGTGAAAATCCCACAGTGAGGCCCAGGCCCCGGAAGGCGCCATCTCAGCAGCTGAGCCTGACGGGTTCCTTCAAGTCACAAGGAGCACAAAGCAACTAAACGCAGACCTCCCTTAGCCAGAATAACGTTTGAAGGTGGGCTTAGATTTCGTAGTGCCCTCACCTGGCCATCGGCAGACCCCGTAACCAGCTGCCGACTGTCTTCATCAATGAACAGACTCAGGAGAGGGGAGGCTATTGAACGGAATACACGAATATTTAGCTTTAAAAGCACCTGATTTGGTTTAAACTGAGAACTATCAGTTTTACTTATAATATTTCTTTGAGTCAAGTTTGAACTATTCTGAAATAACTTCCTTCCCAGGAAGCAAAACTGTAAGTGAATACAAACTTATTTGAGAGTGAGCGTGGGAAGATGGGCCGTTACCACATGAAAAGCCCCGGGAGGTGTCGCTCATGACCTGTGAGGAGGACCAAGGCTCACACATGGCCGCCCAAGCAGAGAGCCTGGCGCATTCACCCAAACGGCTCCGCGAGTCACTGACGGCGTGAGAACCTGTCATAAACAAGGAGCACTAAACTTGCAACAGAACGACTCTTGAGCAACCCAGAAATAATAAAATCGTGCAAGTAGTGATGAAACAGTAGTTAAATAGATGTCTTTTTTTTTTTTAATTGTGGCCTAGGATGTCATTTCATTTAAAACTTATTCTGGGGGCTGGCCCCGTGGCCGAGTGGTTAAGTTCGCGCGCTCCGCTGCAGGCGGCCCAGTGTTTCGTTGGTTCGAATCCTGGGCGCGGACATGGCACTGCTCATCAGACCACGCTGAGGCAGCGTCTCACATGCCACAACTAGTAGGACCCACAACGAAGAATATACAACTATGTACCAGGGGGCTTTGGGGAGAAAAAGGAAAAAATTAAAAAAAAAATCTTTAAAAAAAAAAAAATTCTGAATCGAAACTGTCAAAAATTTAGGAGAATTAAGATAAATACATATTCAAAACACGGCATGTCCTAAATAAACTATAAATGACATCAAAATCAAGTTTGTAATTGTTTCCTTGACAGCCAAATAATAATTCCACATAATTAATTTCAGGAAAATAATTCCAACATAATTCCACAAGACATGCTTTATCCCTGAGATTGGTAAATGGATTCAATTTGTTAAAATATCATATTTTCCACATGGATAAATTAATCTCAGGAAGAGCACTGAATCTCTGGGGAAATATAACAGTAATTCTACCAGTCGCAAGGGATCTGTATATTCTTTAAGCTGTATTTTCATGCTACTTGTCCCAAGAAAGGAACTGTCTTATATTAACTTTCTATTCCCCTTCTCCACATAAACTAGATTGTGCACACGAGAGGTGCACAAGGAACGCTGGAAGCCGGTCTCATGAGGGGCTTGGGGGAACCCCGCACGGATGTCACAGGCAAGAGATGCTTGGGGACACCCATCGCCTGCAGCACGCCAGCCCCACAACGCTGCAGCCCCGAGGGCACCCACACTGCTCAACTGCATGGTCACGTGTTGGCATCAGCACCACCAAAAAGACAGTTTGCAGAAAGTGCTCAGCTGCCTGAGCTGTACAAGCGCTTCCTGCCCGAACCGGAGTCAGGCCTGCTCCTCTCTCCCGACCACACCCACTGGATCCATGTGCCCTTGGCCCTGCAGACCCCTTAGCTCTGGGCCCTGCTTCTCCGGGACAGTAGAGGACCCCCTTTCCCAAAGGCAGACAGCATCTTCCTTATAGTCCAGCAACATGCTTTTTTCATTTTCCAAAATAGAAAGGCTCAGACTCCAAGCATATGCTTATATTTTAAGATAACCCTCAAGAAAATTAACTGTTAAGTGAATCCTTTCAATGTGTGGATGGGAGTGAAACAGCCACTGAGGGGAGACACTCAGGTCCCCGTAAATGTCACAGCTCCAGCTTACAGAACAATACGTGCACCAGGAGAGCTGGGTTACACAGAGCCCATGGACAGAAAAGATGTAAGAGTTTCAAGTTACCTGTTAACACTGATGAGCTGTATATTAATGATCCCAGACGATGGTCCCAAACCTTTGACAGAGACATGTTTCTTTAGAAGAGGTAAAAAATTTTGCCATTATTGCTATAGCTTGAACTAATGCTTCCACCCAACTGCAAAACAATCTGTGTGAATGGTTTTCTAAAAGAGAAAATGGGGCCAGCCCCAGTGGCCTAGTGGTTAAGTTCAGTGTTCTCTACTCTGGCTGCCCTGGGTTCGGTTCCCAGGCACAGACCTACAGCACTCATTGGTGGTCACACTGTGGCAGCATCACATATATAAAATAGAGGAAAATTGGCACAGATGTTAGCTCAGGGACAATCTTCTGCAAGCAAAAAGAGGAAGATTATCAACAGAGTTAGCTCCAGGCCAATCTTCCTCACCAAAAAGAAAGAGAGAGAGAGAAAATAATAAAAAAAATAATAAAATATGGATATAGATAATAAAACCGTAGAAACACAATAAAAGATGCCCGAATCACACAGAAAAAAACTAGCATTTCCAGAAATAACAACCTGTGGATTGGAAGACCCAAGACAAGACAAGGCTGGAGACACTTCGAGCACCTAATCAACATTGCCAAGAGGAGGCGTGAAGCGTGCCGTAATGTGCATCCTGCGTTTACTGTGTGACCGGCACACTCTGCTGCTTTTCAAACATCGGCTCCTTCAGTGCTCACAACCCCCACGGCGATGGGCGCCAGCACATCCACTTTGCAGACTAGAAAAGTCAGTCAACTGTCAGCAGTTGGTCAGTCCTCGAGCTGGGGTTCTGGCCGGACAGCCAGCTCCCAGCAAGGAAGAACCCGCTTCAAGGTGTTTTTACCAGGCAGAAATTTCACGATGACAACCCCACTGTCTTCACGTCCTCTCCTCTCTCTACAGATGCATGTTAATGATGCTCCACTTTCCTTTGAACTGCGACGTGCACGGTCCCGTCTTTGTCAGTAAGACAACCATCATGACACTGGCCAGCCTGGGGTCAGATGGGAACTGAACTTGCATTTTAGGTTATTTTCTTCTCAAGCCCAATTTAGTTCTGATCAATCCTCTGATACTGGAAAACGGCTCTTCTGCTCCGGCCCCGAGGAAACGCCGGGGAGATAAATTAATGTTTTAGCTCCCCGAGGCCCTGGACTCGAGGAGGAGCATCCACAGTTGACTCAAACCCGTCTGGGAATGTGGGGACATGAGAGGGTGCTGTGAGGGCCTCACCGGTGTCCCGCGCCCGGCTGGTGACCCCCGCCAGAATGTGAGGCCGAGGTTCAGGACGATGGCCGTCATACGGAATGTGGTAGAATAATCACGCTTGTGGCGGTGACCATAAACTGAGCCCCTGTCGTATCGGGAAGCACAGATAGTCCAATGGCATCCACTTACCTTAAAGCTTCTGTCCTCAGACACCGAGACGAGCACTCGTGCTCGCCAAGCACAGAACTCAGCGGCAGTCACAGGGCCCCGGTGGCCCTCCAGCTCGGCTGATGTGGACAGGCTCTGGGAGAATTGTGAGAAGATCAGTAACTGAACGTTCTGGTAATTATTGTCATTAAGAAGTTACCTATATCCCACAGAAAATAGTTTCTGTTAAAATACATCCTACATTCCTTAATCCCCTCTTCCAAATTTGAAACTGTCTGTATATAGACCCAGAGGTTAAAACTCAGACGGCTGAGCTGAGACGCGAGCAAACACCGCAAGAGCAGCAACTTTAAAAGACAAAAGTGAGGCCAGCCTGGTGGCGCAGTGGTTAAGTTCTCATGCTCCACTTCAGTGGCCTGGGGTTTGTGGGTTCGGATGCCAGGTGCAGACCTAGCACTGCTTGTCAAGCCATGCTGTGGTGGTGTCCCACATAAAATAGAGGAAGATGGGCACAGATGTTAGCTCAGCAACAATCTTCCTCACCAAAAAAACAAAAGACAAAAGCTAACCCAGGCCGGCCCTAACCAAGCCATGGAGCAGGCATCTCTTGGCCCTTCTGCCCCCCGCACAGTCCACATCTGGCATGCTGGACCACCCAGGACAGCCCTGCAGAGGTGGGAGGAGGGGCTCCACTCCACCTTCACTCCCTCTCCCGCCCCATCAGTCAATGGGTGTCCACCCCACGCTCGGTCCTTCAGATCGCCCTCTCAGGCAGTTACTAAGACAAAACCACACGGTGTGTTCAGGCTACTGAGTCATCCTTCTTTCTAAGTCCTGAAGCCTCTCATGGCCCAGGCAGCCCCAGAAGACAGTGTCGGAAGCCAGAGCTCCCCAGCACTTGAGAGACAGGGCAGTGAGAGCACCCCACATCCTAAAGGTCACAGCCAGCCCCCAGAGGATGTTCCTGTGGGATCCAGGCACCGGCAGGGGGTGGGGGGCATTCTCCTTCAACTTCACATTCAGTTTAAATATCCCCTAATATACACGCATAAAAATATTGTTTCCTTTTGGTATTTTATGATTTTATATATATGTATTATTTTATATATATATATTTATATATATATTTTATATATATTATGATTTTAATATATATATATTTATATATATATATATTTATATATATATATATATATATATATATATTTTAAAGTTTTTATTTTTCCTTTTTTTCCCCAAACCCCTCCAGTACATAGCTGTATATTTTGGTTGTGGGTATCTTCCAGTTGTGGCACATGGGACGCCACCCCAGCATGGCCCAATGAGCAGTGCCATGTCCGCACCCAGGATCCAAACCGGTAAAACCCTAGGCCACCTGAAGTGGAGAGAATTAACTTAACCACTGGGCCATGGGGCCAGCCCTATGGTACATTTTATATTAGTTAAAAGTATCTTTACCAAAAAGCATTCAGTACTCAAAGTCTTTCAAAAAGAATTTCATAAAGTGTTTACTACCTAAGAACACTGTTAAGGCAATGTGACCTCTTCACGTACTTATGGGCAGCCCCCCGTGTCCATTAAATTATCTTCCCATGGTAAATCGGGTCACACTTCATAAGCCTGCGGCTAAGGACACACAAAAAGAACAACCGCTTCGGCCGTATTCACTTAGGAAACCGGAACGAACGTCTGCCGCCTCCCTCTTATTTCCGTGGACTTCCAAGCGAGTGGCTGAGACCCAACCCCGGGCTGACCATTTTCTCTTCCTGGGACACCTCATCCCCGTGAAACGCTAACAATGCTCAGTGTCCTCCTGGTTCAGTTTGGTGAGTTTTGTTACACTTGGCGGGGCCACCTAACGCCAATCCATTTAACCACCAACAGATGTTTGCACAAAGCGTTGTAAATATTTACAGCTCGAATACCAACCTATGCCTGAAGCTGTCATGGGCTAGCACTCTGGACAGCTCTCAAAGGTGCTCCCAGACCCTAGGACGCTCCCCACTCTGTCTGTGACTTCACTGACGACCTTAACCTTTTTAATGTGTGAGCCTCGATTTCACAATTTGGCCCAAAATTGTTTGAAAAAACAAATGTACACTCTGTACTCCAAACTGCCTGGCACACATTGGGCCCACCATCAATTCATCATCAGTTAAGATTTTATGACTAACATCCTTGCTAACGTAACCTTTTAATGTGGCTATGGCAAGAAAACTCTTTTCAGGCACACAGCTTCATTAACTGTATTCGTTCGGGAAACAGAAGACAAGGCATGATACCAGGCCTCGGGTGATCTATCTCCAAAACCAGTGTCAAGCAGAACACGAATCTGGAGGAGAGAGAAGGCCCCCCTGGGCCCCAGCCCACCTCCTGCTCTCCAACGCTTGGCGTTCCTGTAACGGGTCAAAGGAAGTTTACCATTTCACAGCCAGATACGAGATTTAAAAATCACAGAACCTGGAAGGGTGACACATTTACTGAAACTAAAGAAAGGAGAATGTCAGGGAAATAAACATCTTACTGAACACGTTTGTCTAAAGTCATCCCTGATACCCAGATCTCATGTAAAGTTTTCACAACTTACGTAAAATAGCAGTGTTGAATATGAGTGGCTTTCCAATTGCAAGATAAAGATATGCTTTCAGTCATTCCCCCTAACATCTTTACAAAAATTTGCCCAATTAAAAATACTGCCGAGGGGCCGGCCCGGTGGCGCAGAGGTTAAGTGCACACATTCGGCTTCGGCAGCCTGGCGTTCTCCAGTTCGGATCCCGGGTGTGCACATAGCACCACTTGGCAGGCCATGCTGTGGTAGGCATCCCACATATAAAGTAGAGAAAGATGGGCATGGATGTGAGCTCAGGGCAAGGCTTCCTCAGCAAAAAGAGGAGGATTGGTGGCAGATGTTAGCTCAGGGCTAATCTTCCTCAAAAAAAACACTGTTGAGACAAGGCAGGCAGGACCTCAGCACCTGGGAGGCCCCATCAGGTCTGTGCCCCACTCACCTCACGCAGGTGTTCAATCTTACCTCCACATCCAGCACCAGTATTTTGTTTCCGGCACATGCCGCAACCACCCGATCATCCGGACAAAACCTTAAACAGAGCACCTTCCCCAGAAGGGTGCGCATGACCGTCCCTCGAGGAGTCAGCCCTGGAGGGAGTTTCCGTCATGAGTGTCAGGTCATCAAAGCCTCCTCAGCATGAGCACAACCGCCGTGCCCTCAGGGGAAACACTGCCAGTTCAGCCCCATGCTAAAATCACACGCAGAGGAACCAGAAGCTGCAGTAGGATGTTCACTCTTTGAGAGGATTGAAAATGTGGAATATAAATAATCTCCTGGGACTCAGCGTCGTTAAGGATGGCAGTCTTCAGGAAGGCTGCATGTGCCCACACGTGGCGGGGGTCGTGCAGACTGGCCTGTGCGCCCTAGTCCTCCCTCTCCGAGGCCACCGCGGCTGCATCCAGCCTTGTGACCTGCTTTGGCCCATGTCAGGGAGACAGAAGGGACAGTGTGCCCATCTGAGTCTTGGCCTCCAGGGCCTCTCCACCACAACGAGGACATCTCCAGGCCGATCTGCAGGTCCCAGTAGGGCCACTGGGGACCAGAATTGGACCCTCTGGCTGCTGAGTTGAGAATAAAATGCCTGGCTGGAGGGGCAGGTGGAGCAGGCAAGCAGGTAGAAGGCCAGCGCAACAATCCTGGAGAGGCTGCCGGTGGTTGAACCTCCATAGTGGCAGTGCAGGTGTGAGACGTGCTCAGGCTTTGGAGATATTTTGAAGGAAAAGCAGATGGAGTTTGCCATGGGTGGATGGGGTGTGAGAGCGAGGACGAGGGATGACGCCACGGTTCCCCGGAACCACTGTAGGAAGATGGTGGGCAGGATAGCTTGTGGGATAAGGCGGATCAAGACAGGCAAGTGGGCGATGCTATGAGACATCCACAAGGATGTGTGCAGGGCCAGGTCACACGTGAGGCTGAGGCTGGGAGGGAGGGCTCAGCACAAACAGAGGTGGCAGCTGTCAGTGTATTTGCATTTCCAAAACCTAGAGGGCTGGATGCCATCATGACGGGGTGGGGTGGGGGGTGGAATGCTCTCTAATGGGGAGAAGGAAAAGCTGGTATGCCCACATTGGGAGGTGGGAGGATGAGGAGGAGCCAGCAGAGGGGACAGGGAACAAGGTACCAACAGGATCCCAGGGCTGAAAACCGCCCGATGACACAGTGCTCTGAGGCCACTGGTCATGGACCACGTTCTCAGTACAAGAGCAAACCCAAATCATTCCTGGACATACAGGTGCCGTCACGCAGCACACCAGCCACGTGGGCCCCCAAACCAACCTAGCTGTGCTGGATCCTGCCTGGCCGCATAGCGGCCGCCGATGGCCTATGGCTCATGGGAAACCCTCCACTACAGCCCTGAAGTATAAGGCATAGAAGGGGCTTGTCCTGATCCCACTGCAGAGCTGCGGGACCCAAGGAGCAGTTCCAGCATGCCCGCCATGCAGGGTTCCACAGGAGCGTCAGCACCATGCCTCAGGGCTCAGCTTCTGCCCACCGTCCTGGCAGAGACCACCACGCGTCAAAGTCCACGTGAGGTTCTGACGAGCAACTTAAAAATAAACTTTGGGAGTACAGCCCCTTCTAACATGGAGGACGGCCTATTTACAAAGACCTCTGCAGGGAGCAGAGAACTAACGTGTGGGTCACTATTCACATGCACGTGTGTGTGTGTACTACATATGGATGTGTGTGTACTATATACATGTATGTATGTAATATGTATGTGCTACGTATGTATGCACATGTGTGCTATACACATGTGTGCTTATATGGGCATGTACTGCATGTGCGCATGTGTGTGTGCATTGTGTGTATATGTACGTGTGCATTACTATATACACATGTGCTTATGTATGTGGGTGTTATATATTATGTAGCATATATGTATGTATGTATGTATATATGCACTATAAACACATGTATCTGTGCCTGTACTATGTGGGCACTATATATGCTTGTGTGTCCCACAAGTGTACGCATGCATCTGTGTATTATACACACATGCATATGTGTGTTGTATGCACATATGTGCACTGTATATGTATGTGTGTATGTACTATACGTATACGTGTGTAGGTACCTAAGTATGTACTATATAGGTATGTGTGTGCGCATACTGTATATGCATGTGTGTGTGTGTACTATATATGTGTATGGGTACCTACATATGTATGATGCATGTGTGCGTGTGTGTACTATATATATGTGTATGGGTACCTACGTATGTACAATACATGTGTGTGTGCTATATATGTATGTGCAGGTACCTATATATGTAGTATACATGCAATGTGCACATATCAGTGGTGATACCCTGATATTGGAGTGCTCAAACTACAAATTAAGTGAAGGTGGGGTATAAACTATTATATATGCTGTTGTCTAAGATCACTTGACATTTGATCTTTGGAGTAATCCTACAAATTCTCAATGTAACTGCATGAAATGTGAATTCTGTAATGTGGTCCTCACCTAACTCTTCAGCTCCATCTGATGGATCTCTGCTAACATCACCAAGCTCCAACCATATGGGCTCATTCTCAGCTCTTCCAACAAGTCAAGCTCTTCACAAGGAGGGCCGAGCCCAGACAGATCCCTCTGCCTAAAAAGCTGTTCCAACGAGCACTGTGCCAGTCCCCAACACCGACCCTTCCACTGGGCTCCCCTCATCCTCCAGCTCAAACATCAACTCCTCAGATTACACCACGTAAATGTGTCCTGCCACGTTTTCTGTCAACACCTTACTTGCTTATTTGACAACCACTGTGTCTCTGTAGGGAAAGAATATTTCAGCTTGCCTACATGTTTTCAGAGTTCTGCAAAAATCACAAATTTCAAAATAAGAAAATCCATAAGATAAAAACTAATGAGCCTCTGACATCAGCTTCACACACAGCAAAGGTCAGTAGATCTGAATGGCCCGGTGTGCTTCCAAGATAGTACATCTAGCTTAAATGTCCGGTTTCAGGGATAAAGTAGTAAAAATGATCCCAAACTCCCTTATGCTACCAAGTGTATCTAAGGATGAGTTGTTCCCTTTGTACATTCTTTAAAATGCGTTTTAAATTTCATTTACCTTCAAGCACTTTCTCTCTGCATTCATCCAGTTTCCACATTATAACACAGTCTTGTGATGCGGAACAGATTAGAAGCGGATTCGCTGTGTTTCCAAACGCCACAGCAGTAATTGGCTGCTGGTGCCCTCTGAGGATTAGACGCTGAAAAATTAACAAAAAAACAAAACATCATACATTATAGATAACATTTAAAGAACAAAAGAACATAACAACCTAACCTCAGACCTAACTAATTATATGGAATGAATTTTTCAAACATATTTATTAATCATTTATTAAAATTCCTGTTTATGTACTACTAAATTATTCCCTCAAGTTAACCATTTCACTGTTACTCAGTATCACGTGCAACGCACACTAGGAAAACGATGCAGGTGACCTCACCCCTCTATTTCTTCATTATTTATTAATTAACAAATGCATATTGCATCCCCACTGCATGCCAGAAGAGGTAACAGCTGTGATGGATATTGAAGGATAATGAAAATAACAAGGATTTGACAAGAAGAGGAGAGCATTCGGGTCTCCGGGAAAGCAAGGCATGTTAAAGAAACTGCTGATGCAAGCAAAGTAACAAGATGAAGGGAGAGAGAGGTGGGGCTGGGGTATGAACAGCCTGACCACCATGTAAGGAGTCTCAGTAGAGCTCTAGGAAATTGGAAGCCAGCAAAAATGTACAAGCAGAGGCAAGCAATGGCCAGATTTAGTTTCTAGGACATAATATGGTTGCAAGTGTAGACTAGAGACTAGAGTAGGGGATCCAGGCAAGACCAAAACATTCCAAAGGAGAAGCAATAAAGGCCTGGATGAGGCAGCAGAGCTGAAGACGGGGAGGAGATGACAAAGTGAAGGCTCGGTGACCAATGGACGTGGAGAGATGGAGCAAAGGAGTCAGCGTTACAGGGGAAATCCTGGGTGAACGACAGCATGAGGAAGATGGGCTGGAACCAAGGTAGATGAGGTTGTCTGGTCCACGGTAAGCGGAGGTGCGTACAAGTGGAAAGTACGTAAACAGGAGGCAGTGTGATAACGTGAGGACAAGGACAGCTCCACCCTGGTCACGGCAGGCTAGTTCATGGTTACCAACCCTCCAGGCAAGAATGACAAGAAAAAAATGGACAAAATTTTCAAACATATATATGTATATTTTAAGGCATCTTGGAGTAATAAATTAAGATCACAGAAAAGAAAACTGAGGGAAGTGGTCCCAGCACCTGAGGCCACTTCTCCCATGAAGACACCTATCAAAAGGCAATTTCTGACAATTCCAGCAAAGGCAGTTGAGAAGCTGAGATATTTATGGGGCTAAGGGCACAAAAATGGTGTAATTAAATCCATCATTCTCAGGGGGAAAAACAGAAGCATCTTATTGGGAGAAGGACCAAGAATTCTGTCACCTTACAGAGTACTTCTGAGAACAGAATCGATAGCCTCAAGCTCGAGGACTCTATCCATTTTTCCTTTAAAACCCTATGGATGGATTTTAATAAATTCCTGCTTTAAAAAAAGAATACAACCTACCGAGGTGGAGGAGTGGCATGTTGCTCCACACCGTTGGCTAACAGACCAAATGAAACAAAATAACCCTCACAGGTGCTGAAACCTGTCTTCTGGGATCACTGATGCCCTCGCCAGCCAGCTATCAGAAGCAAACAAACTCTCTCTGGAAGAAGTTAAGATCATCCAGAGCCTCAAACCAGCTGTACTTTTTTTTCATATGTAATGTCCAGCAATCAATCAAAAATAATCAGGTATTCAAGGAGACAAGATCATCCAGTCAAAAACCAAGAGAAATAAGACACCAAGGAAAACACCCACATGCCATCCAGATGGCCTTGAAACCAACCAGAACTGACCTAGATGTTAGAATTGCTATATAAGGATGTTAAAACAGTCATTATAACTTTATTCCATATGTTCAAAAAATTGAATAGAGGCACCGAATATATTAAAAAGACCCAAGTCTAACTTTGAGAGATGAAAACTAGAATGAGAGATGAAAAACACACTGAGAGGATTGACAGCAGATTAGATGTTGCAGAAAAAGAAATAGATGATTTGACTAGGCCTATGTCTACTAAAGAAAATGAACCAATAATTAATAACCTTCCAAAGCAGAAAGCAGCAGGTTCAATGGTGAATTCTACCAAACATTTAAGGAAAAATTATACCAATTCTCTACAGCCTCTTTCAGAAGATAGAAACAAAGGGACTACTTCCTAACTCATTCCATGAAGCCAGCCTTATCTAATACCAAAACCAGACAAAGATATTACAAGAGAAGAAAACTGTGGACCAATATCTCTCATGAACATAGATGCCAAAATCTTCAACAAAATATTCAAAATATTAGCAAATCAAACCCAACAATGTATAAAAAGAATTATACATCATGACCAAGTGAAATTTATTCCAGATATACAAGGCTGATTCAACATTTGAAAACCAATTACTGTAATCCATTACTACAGGCTAAAGAGGAAAACTTACATGATCATATCAATAGATGTAGAAAAAGCATTTTGACAAAATCCAACGCCAATTCATGAAAAATTCTCAGTATACTAGGAATAGAGGGGAACTTCCCCAACTTGATAAAGAATATCTACAAAAAACCTACAGCTAACATCATATTATCATAACATCATATCTCACCATTAAGTGAGAAAGCAGAAGCGTTCCACTACGATTAGGAACAAGGCAAACATGATCCCTCTCACCACTCCTTTTCAACATTACACTGAAAGTCTTAGCTAATGCAACAAGAGAAGAAAGGAAATAAAAGGTATACAGATTGGGAAGGAAGAAATAAAACTGTCTTTGCTCACAGATAACATAATCTTCTATAGGGAAAATCCAAAATAATTGACAAAAAAAAACTCCTGAAACTAAGCAATTAGCACAAAGTTGCAAGTTACAAAGTTAATATTAAAAAGTCCATCATTTTCGTCTATATCAGGAATAAACATGTGAAATTTGACATTTAAAACACAATACCATTTACATTAGCACCCCAAAATAATGAAATACTTAGATACAAATCTAACAAAATATGTACAAGATCTCTGAGGAAAACTACAAAACTCTGTTGAAAGAAATCAAACAACTAAATGCATGGCTAGGAAGACTCTATAGTGTCAAGAGGTCTGTTCTTTCCAACTTGATCCACAGATTCATGCAATCCCAATGAAAATCGACAGACTGATTCTAGAGTTTATATGGAGAGGCAAAAGACCCAGAATAGCCACACAATATTGAAGAAGAACAAAATTGGAGGACTGCCACCACCTGACTTCAAGACTTCCTATGAAGCTACACTAATCAGGACTGTGAGGTGTTGGTGAAAGAAAAGACACACAGATCAATGGGAGCGAACAGAGAGTCAGAAATAGACACATACGTATAGTCAACTGATCTTTTACAAAAGAGCAAAGTCAATACTATAAACTCCTACAAGATAATTTAGGGGAAAATCTAGGTGAATTGAGTTTGGCAATGAATTTTTAGATACACCAAAGGCATGCTCCACCAAAGAAAGAATTGATAAGCTGGACTTCAGTAAAATTAAAATTTTCTGCCTCACAAAAGATACTATTAAGAGAATAAAAAGACAAACTACAGATTGGGAGAAAATATTTGCAAAATATATATCTGCTCAAGGACTGTTATCCAAAGTACACCAAGAATTCTTAAAATACAACAATAAAAAAACAACCCAGTTAAAAATTAGGCCAAAGACCTTAACAGACATCTCACCAAAGAAGATATACAGATGGCAAGTAAGCATATGAAAAGATGCTCCACATCATATGTCATCAAGGAAACGCAAATTAAAACAGCAATGAGACCGCTACACACCTATTAGAATGGCCAAAATCTGGAACACTGACAACACCAGATGATGGTGAGGATGCGGAGCAAGAGGGACTCTCACACATTGCAAAAGGGTGCAGCCACTTTGGAAGACAGTTTGGCGGTTTCTTACAAAACGAAACATACTCGTAACATATGATCCAGCAATCATGCTCCTTGGTATTTACCTAAATGAATTGAAGATTCGTGTCCACGCAAAAGCTTGCACACTGATGTTTATAGCAGCTTTATTCATAACTGCCAAAACTTGGAGGCAATCAAGACATCCTTCCGTAGGTAAATGGATAAATAAGCTGCGGTACATCCAGACAGTAGAATACTATTCAGCACTAAAAAGAAATAAGCTATCAAGTCATGAAAAGTCATGGAGGAAACTTAAATGCATATTACTATGTAAAAGAAGCCAATATGAAAAGGTTACAGACTGTGTGATTCCAACTTTATGACATTCTGGGAAAGGCACAACTCTGGAGACGAGAGGTCAGTGGTTGCCAGGGGTTAGGGAAGAGGGAGGGATGACTAGGCAGAACACAGAGGATTTTGGGGACAGTGGAAATACTCCATATGATACTATAATGGTGGATACATATCATTACACATTTGTCCAAAACCAAAGAATATACAACAGCAAGAGTGAACCAATGTACAACACCCAGTGAACCATCTGGGTGACGATGATGTGTCAGTTGTTCATACAGCTGATAGGTTCATCAATTATAACTAATGTACCATCTGGTGGGGGCTGTTCATAACGGGGGAGGCTGCATATGTGTGGAGGCAGAGAGTATATGGGAATCTCTGTACTTCCCTCATAATTTTGCTGTGAACCTAAAACTGCTCTTAAAAAAAAATAGTCTTAAAAGACAAAAAAAAGATGCAAACAGTAGCCAAAATTTCAGAACAAGAAATATTACCAGAGATAAAGAATGTCACTTCATAATATTAATGGGATCAATTCATCAAGAAGACATAAAAATACTAACGATTTACATGTTTAATAATAGAGCTTCAAAATACACAGAATGACACTGAGGGAAGAGATATACACAAATTCACACTTGGAGGCATAGATTTCAATATGCCTCTCTCAATAATTGTTAGAACAGTGGCCACAAAGTCAGCAAGAATACAGAAGACTTGAAGAATACTATAAACCAACTTGAACTCATTGACATTATAAAACAAAAGAGGATACATTGACATTTATAAAACAAAAGAGGATGCAAATATTCATAGCAACTTATTTATAATAATCAAAGCGATAAGAACCTACACGTCCACCAACAGGAGAATGGATAAACAAATCACAGAACATTCATACAATGGAACGCTACTCAATGATAAAGAAGAATGAACTATTGACACATGCAACAACGTATATAAGTCTCAGAATAATTACTCTAAATGAAAGAAGCAAGACAAAAAGAGTAAATACTGTCTCATTCCATTTACATAGAACTCCAGAAAATGCAAACTAATCTAAAACTTTATATTTAGAATACATCAAGAACTCCTTTGAATCAATAGGAAAAAGATGGATAATCCAATAGAAAAATGGCAAGATATTGAACACAAACATCATTTAATCTTTATAAAGATTAAAAAGAGAAAATGTCCAAATGGCCAATAAGTGTGCAAAAAGGTGTTAAAAGCCATCAGTCATCAGGGAATTGCAAATTACCATTAAGTACCACTACACCCACCAGAGGGATAAAATTAAAAGGGCCAAATGCAGGTGAGGGTGTGGATCAACTGGAACTCCTACACCATTTGAAGACGTACAGGTTGGTATAAGTGCTTTGGAAATCTTTCTGGCATTATCTAGTAAACTAAACATATGCATTCCTATGACTCAGCAGCTGTACACATATGTGAACCAAAAGGCCTATGAAGAATGCCTGTAGCAGTCAAAATATGGCAACAAAACAGATATCCACCAACAACAGAATAGATAAAGTGTAGTCTATCCACACAATGGAATACTACACAGTAATGAAAATGGACAATGTGGATGACTCTCATAAACAAAATGGTGAATGTAAGAAATCAGCACAAAAGAAGAGCAAAACTAACCCATAGTCCTAGAAGTCAAGACACAGTGACCTTCGGGGAGGAGAGAAGGGAGCACTGATAGAGAGGAGGCCCAGCCTGGGTGGTGGTTACCCAGGATCCACGTTGTTACAACCACTACTATGTGCACTCAAGAACTAGGACACATTTTCCTAAGTATTTTCTCCTTCACTAAAATAGTGAGAGAGATCAGCCATATATCTGAATGTAGATCTTATCTCAGAGAAAAAAATCAAAATATAGATTTCCCTTTATTAATAACGAATAGCTTCTACCATCAGTAAGGTGATTGCCAGTATGATTGAAAGTCAAAGAAAAATTTCAAAGTAAATACAGTTTTGTTCCTATGTAACTGTAATCACTGCTCTCAAACTCCTGAAGCCCAAAATGAAGATAAAAATTATCCAAATGCCAAAAAAGATTCATAGAATTTACCTTTTCATTTTGTACAATGAAACCTGTTCTTATTCAGAGTGTTCTGATAATGATATTAGTCATGAAATAAGCTTTAGAATGAAAACTAATGGTGTCTTTAAGACTCTATCAGTTGGGGCCGGCCCTGTGGCCTAGTGGTTCAAGTTCCACGCACTTCCCTTCAGTGGCCTAGGTTCGCAGGTTCAGATCCCGGGTGCAGACCTACTCCACTCATCAGCCATGCTGTGGGGAGACCCACATACAAAATAGAGGAAGACTAGCACAGATGTTAGCTCAGGGCAAAATTTCCTCAGCAAAAAAAAAAAATTAAAACTCTATCAGTTTGACATACAAGATTCTGCAATAAACATAACAAACTTCCTTAAATGTGTTCTAGTAAAAACCTACAAAGGTTCGACTCATCTTGATTGTGTTACAATGAACCTTTTCTTGCTCATATTCTTACCAAAGAATTTTTTTAATAAAGTTATTCCAGAACTTTATTTTCTAAAAATCAAAACTTAATGTAATGATTTGTTTGCTGTTAACATTTTTCTCCCGTACTTGGTAGCTGAATCCATGGAGGGTAATGTTACCCAAACAGTAACAGAGAAATGGCAAGGTGATGGCAGGCTCTATGTGTCATTTGACTTAACAAGAAACACACACAACTTTTCAGATACCTGGTGAGAAGGGTCCTCGGTGTTCCATATGCAAAGCTGGTTTCCATCTAACGGGAAGGCACAGTGCTGCACACTGCAAGCAAGCTGCACGTGGGATGCGGCCTCCTTCGACTCAACCAGGTATTTTTCTATGACTATGTCACCTACACAGCTGTCATTGGTGGAGGAAATCTCTTGTGGTTCTTCCATCCTCAACCTGAAAACACAAAGTATATACAAGATGCCTGTGGGTCTGATATTTAACATAGACAATAGTCTGTTATTAACAATTACTAGTGTGATTACGCACATACACAACACATCATACCTACTTACTCACCTCTCCCTCCCACTCCCAAGGAAAAGCAAGAGAAACCACTGAAAATCCTTGGGGTTCCGTTTCCTGACTGCTCCACTCCTCTCACAGGTTTCAAATTAAATGGACCATGATTCAAGTCCCACTATTTCCACTTAACAGACCTTGCTTAGACCTGCTGAGTCTGCTTCCCAACTGGAAATGGGGAGAGCAACGACCTCACAGAGGCGTTGTGCAGATTAAACGATGCTCTGTAAGGCATAAGTCCAGCACCGGCACTGAACAGGACCTTCAAAACGTTGTTACCGAAATCGATTTCTATTATCAATGGCTAAGATACAAAGTTACTTTCTAAATTGACCAAGCAAATTAGTTGGTGATAAACTGCAACTAGAATGTAGACCTCCTGGGTCCAGCCCCACCGCAGAGTGGTTAAGTTCACACTCTGCCGTGGCCTGGGGTTTCACCAGTTCAGATCCTGGCCGCGGACTTAGCACCGCTCATCAGGCCATACTGACGTGACGTCCCACACAGCACAACCAGAAGGACCTACAACTAGAATATACAGCTATATACTGGGGGGCTTTGGGGAGAAGAAATACAAAACAAAGAAGATTGGCAACAGATATTTGCTCATGTGCCAATCTTTAAAAAAAAAAAAAAAAGAAAGAAAAGAAAAGGAAGAGAGAGGGATCTCTTTAAAAAAAATAATAATGTAGATCTCCTGTTGCTAACCTGGGGTTTATCCAACTATTTCACAACATTCTATGTCATTAAAGTTAATTATCTCGGGTTATATAATCACTGATTCACAGGCTGTCTTACAAAGCATAAATTAATAAAACAGTGACAAAAATAAAAAATGTTTCAGGCTTCTGTCCCACTTCACAGTCAATTACTTCACCAACATGATCTTTCTAGACACATGGAGCAACAGCCCTCGAGTCAGCCTTGACTCTGCTCTGCCTCACACCTCCTTCCAGGCACTAGGTACACTCAAAGCTCAGCCACGGCTGTGCAACAAAGTGCTGAGCAAGCACTTAACCATCCAGTCACCACGCTGGTTGTGTTGACTCAAAGGACCTACCATCTGGTCACCATGCTGGTTGTGTTGGTTCAAAGGACCTAACCATCTGGTCACCATGCTGGTTGTGTTGGTTCAAAGGACCTAACCATCTGGTCACCATGCTGGTTGCGTGGGTTCAAAGGACCTACCATCTGGTCACCATGCTGGTTGTGTACGTTCAAAGGACCTAACCATCTGGTCACCATGCTGGTTGTGTTGGTTCAAAGGACCTAACCATCTGGTCACCATGCTGGTTGCGTGGGTTCAAAGGACCTACCATCTGGTCACCACGCTGGTTGTGTGGGTTCAAAGGACCTACCATCTGGTCACCATGCTGGTTGTGTTGGTTCAAAGGACCTAACCATCTGGTCACCATGCTGGTTGTGTGGATTAGGCCTGGACAGGTTTCATGGGGAAAGTAGAAGTTAAGACCAACGAAGACTATGAGGACATTGACCAGCAGAGATGGGGTGAGGGTAAGAAGAAGGAGGAGAGATCATCGTCCAGTGGAGAGAGGCTGGCATGGTCAGCAAACAATAGCCAGAAAGAAGGGCTTACACTTAAGCTTAGTTGACATTAGAGAGCTACTGAAGGTTGTTGAACAAAGAGGTGAGAAATCTAGAGCTGCCATTTAGGAAAATGCACATATCAATCTGGCAGCAACAGGCAAGGTGGTCAGAATCCAGAAGGACTTGGGTGGGGACGAGAGAGGGCCACACCCCCAGCTCCATGTCCAGGGGATGTGGCTCAGGGAGCCTGGGAGGTGGGCACTGCAAGAACAACAGGAGATCACCCCACACCCTCAGGTCTATGGCCCTCCTGTCCTCTGAAGACCTTTTCTATCTCCAATTTCTTGACGGCACGACCACTTTCCTAGTTTCCAGGGATGAAAGCTTCCGTGAAGGTTAACTCCTTCCTTTCCCTTGCCCCTCACACCCAGTCCAGGCCCCAACCCTTACTTTCTTCTAGGGGACTTTCAGCTTTGGCCCTCAACACCCAGCAAGGGAAAGATCACGCAAATCCTAAAAATAACAATCTATTGCTGTCACCTAGTGGATTATCTGCCCATATCGCAATGGTTCTCTCTTTTGGGGCCAGAATCCCATTAGACCCCCGAGGTAAAGAATGTGGAAGCTGGGTGCAGGCCGGATTCTGCCTCGGAGTGTTGAGCAGGAGTGGGTGTCAGAGAGCAGAAGAAAGCAGAACACAGGAATCTAGGCCCACCGGCTCCCAGTGTCTGGCTCTACTCCTTACGGCCTGAATTTGGTGAAGTATCCCTTTTTTTAGGCTATTCTGTTATTTCCAACCAGAGAGTCCTAAACAATGGACTATCTGATTACATTCCAACAGTGAAAAGAAACAGCAAACACTGAGCTGGTGTGAATGCCAGATGCCAGGGGTGGGACTTCCCCATCACAGAGGGGAACAGGCCAGGACCCACACAGGCTGGAGCTCCCATGGAGCCCCCACCTCCATAGGAATGTGTGGACCTAGAACCCCCACGACAGCAGTGAGGATGGCAGGAAGGGGCAGACACAACAGACTGCCTGCACCCTCCTCACTCAGTCCTGACCGGCAGCCTCTCATTGGCTGCTCGTCCCACCAAGAATAAAGTTCCAACCTGCACTGTGTTCCTCAAGGCAGCAAGTCTCAGCCCCATCGCAGGTCCTCCCTCCTTTGATCTCTTTCCTCCATCACACTGGCTTCCTCAGGGCATTAGGGTTCTCCTCGAGCTCTCCACCTGCTGGCCTCTTCCTACCCTTCAGGTCCCAGCTGAGCACCACACACACCCCTCCATTTGCTGTCACCACTCCTTCAGCCTTCACACACCCTGACCCAGTTTACCCTTCAGAGGCTGGACGTGGAGCCAGATCAGGCCCCTGGGCTGCAATCTCTAGCTGTGTGACCTTGGATCAGGCTCCTGGGTTGCCATCTCTAGCTGTGTTTCCCTGGATTATGTTCCTGGGTTGCAATCGCTAGCTTTGTGACACTAGGTCAGGCCCCTGGGCTGCGATCCGTAGCTGTGTCACAGTGGGTCAGGCCCCTGGGCTGCAATCTCTAGCTGTGCGACCCTGGGTCAGATGGTACCAGTGTTTGCAGGGACTGCAGAGAGGGAAAAACTGTTTGGGGCTTCCAAACGGGGCAGGTGGGTTCTGTCACAGCTCTTGATGGAGAGTGGATCCGCCAGGACCCACCACCTGGGCGATGGGTGGGGTGGCTGGGATCACTTCCAAGCCCGCAGATGCAGTGGTCACAATTTAACAAGACAAAGAAGACAAACAAAATGTCCTACTTGATATATTCTATTGGAAAAGAAGTCAGGAAGCACTTTCAACAGGAGACCTGACTAGAAACTCATTGTAGCATCTGTAAGGCCAAGATACCAGGCCGGTGGGGAAATGTAATGGACACGGTTCTCGAAGCACAATCAGAGGCCTGATGAGCGACATAACAATGTTTTCTGTCATAATAAATCGGAGATGTTCAAGGAATTGGAGATTCTGCAGTATTTGCAGAAAAACAAGACAAAAACACATGTCGAATATTTTAAAGCACATTCTTCTCCAACTCACAAGCTTGGTTTGGTTTTACTTATTTATTTTACATTTGACAAGACACAGTGGTGAGCTTCATATAAAAAATAGCTAAGTGTTTTAAAGCTATGATGATTTGCTCTGCAGATTTTACAATTTTAAAGTAATGAGTACTCAGCTCCGTGGCGGGCACGTGGTAGGTGATGGCTGAAAGTGCCCAACGGGATGGAACAAAGCTACGGGGCCTCCTCCCACAGCTTCCTACAGGCATAAACTATCTTACGAAACAGATGAAAGAATATATCTAAAGTCATAATTGTTTCAAAATATTTAAGAATCCACCCATCAAACTGTGATTAGATTTTGTCTTATTTTTTCAACATAAACTTCTGTGCACAAGGACTGTCTTAATCTCTTCTGTGATCCCTATAGAATTTAGCACCATGATTTGCAAATAATAGTATTTGTATACGAACTTACAGTTTACAAATTGCTTTCACAGGTATTATCAAGTACATTTGTGTATATCGATAAACCCATTATATCATTTAATTCTCACATTAACCCTGCAAAGTTGTTAAATATTTTTTTTTCCCATTTTGCAGGTGAAAACCAAAATCAGAGAGGTTGGTAAGTGATACAACTAGTTAGCAGAATCGAGACAACTAGCCTTTGCATAACTGACTCCTCATCGGTGGCCTCTCTACTGCAGCCCACACGGAAGACTGGTCCTTGGATGAGACCTCACAGTTCCATTCGAGCTGAGAAAGCATCAGCCATGAGGGCAACGTGCTGAGGGAGGAGCTCAGGGTTGCAGTCAGACAGACTCACATGACATCCCTGCCCAGCTGCTCACAGCTGCTCTAAGTGGCTTGCGTCCCTGCCAAAGCATATCCAGACGGCCAACCGCTGCAGGTGACCAGGCTTAGGGCTGCCCACACACAGCCTCTCGGGAGAGCCCGGCCAGCTCAGTCCTACTCACTCCACTTGTTCGGACTTGAGAGCACTTGCTCACCCCCTGCACCAAATGCTCAGCTCCCTGCAGACTTTCCTGGGACATAGTTTTAGTTTTCCTTTGCTTTGAGCCGCAGGCCATCCCAACTAATTTTCTACCCAACAGGCTCCCAGAAATCCTGCTTAAGCAGGAACCCCTGGACAGGACTCGAGCTTAACTGCGACAAAGTGTGGAGGAAGATTACCTTGAGCTTTGAGAAACAAATCATTTTAATTGTTCAAGGACTAGATAATCATTTGGGAAATAATAACAAAAACAAATTCCAGATGGATTGTGGGTTACAAAA